GATGAGTGCGACCTGTCAGCACAGCACAAAGACCCACTTTAGGTTTTAGGAGGTTTGATGTTTTCACCACAAATGAACCAGTTTGTTACTTGAGTTTCAACCATTAAGCTCGAGGTGGTTCGTGTCCGACTCTTTCCTCACATATTTACATAATTAAACGCCGTTATGCAAACACATCACACTTATATAAGCCAGGGAGGAGACCTGCAGATCGGCTAAGGAGCGGCTCAGAGACTGTCTGTCTGTATTAGCTCCAGGATGCTACGGCGCGCAGTGCGAAGAGGCCGAGCTCTGATGGCCGCATGATGTGATGGAATCAGATCTGCAAATGATGCAGAAGTGATGCTTTTCTTTAGTGGTTAGAGGAGAGGAGGGCCAAAGGGCTGCCCGTGAGTTAGTGATCCCAAACACTGCTCAGCGGACAACAGTAACAAGATGAGCAGAGCGGGCGTGCAGCTTAAGCTTAACTAATGTCTTAACAACAGGAAATGCCGGGAAGACCTCAGGCTTCGTAAATCTTCCTCATCTTAGAAGTGGCCACGGGAGAATTCATTTGCTCTGCTTTCAAAGAACAAAGAAGGATTTTCACTGTCCCGTAACAAGACCAAGGGACGGGGTGTTCTGGATCGGAAGTAGAGTTTCTAAATGTTCTGAGCGACCACAAGTGAAGGTGGAGGGAAAAGCAGGCCGTCATGAATATGAGCGTAACGGCCCACCAGTGTTGCACCTGGTCGAAATTACAAATATCTGGACAAACGTTGGTTCAGAGATGGAAGTAGAGTGAGCTGCTCCACCGTCGCCATCTTGGCAGTGTCTGACTCCGCCTCCTAACTCCCAGCTAATCCAAAAATGGTCAAAGAGGTGGAGCGTGTGTGGAGCTGAGACTTCAGTGCATGCCGGTTTCTGGCAAGCGTACACTCACCCACCTGTCACTCAAAGAGGCCACGCCCCCTTAATTCTCCATAACTTTAGTCCTTAAATCAAATGTGAACAGGTGAGTTATATTAACAGGTGTCATGAAGGAGGAAATTAGCTCTAGAGACCAAAACAGTTTTTGTACCAGGCTGTAAACATGTTTATTTCTGCTGTAAAGTTGGACATTTTAACATGGGAGTCTATGGGGACTGACTCACTGTTGGAGCCAGACTCTAGTGGTCGTTAGAGGAACTGCAGCTTTAAGGTGCCAACCCATCATGAAGATGTTGAGATATTTCACTGAATATGTGAAAACTCAGGGGACCTCCAAAGTTGTTAAAATTGATCCAATGTGTACCTTCAACATCTGCAAAAAATCTCATGACAATCCATCAGATATTTGTTGAGATGTTTCAGTCTGGAACAAAGTGTTCGACTGACCAACAAACACTCAGTTTGCTCAGTTTCCAGCTTCGTGACAGAAAAGAAAACCACAAAAATATTTTTTTACAATAGTTCATTTAGCTTTAAGATTTTCCTATCCATACAGAGACATACAGGATTATTCAGATTATTAGAAAAATTCACAACCTCCAAATTTGGAGATGCGTAGTTTTTATGGAGATATTTTGGAGGAAAGAAAAGACATAAAAGACTCGTGTGACAATAAAACAGAGCAGGGGAAAGACAGGGAAGCTCTGCAAATGACGGCTAAATGCCAAATTCATTACCACGCATGCTGAGAGCTTAAGGTCAATGACGTGTAGATATTGTGTGTGTGTCTGTGTGTGTGTGTGTGTGTGTGTCTGCCTGCCTGCCCTGCATGCATACATACACATGTCTCTGTTGAATAATGTCATTAATAACCCTGGGTATGAAATCCTTCAGAGGAATCGTCCAGGTGCTGCTTGTTTGCTCTATATACCCGAATGCCTGGAAGTGTGTGTGTGTGTGTGTGTGTGTGTCATAACCCTTCCACACGTATCCCTGGTGGGTGGCAGGAAACGACCCTAGTGGTGCAGCTCAGTCTCGTGTCTCGTCCGTCTCCAGCTGACGTCGCCCTGAAAGAGACGGAAAGAGAAAGAGAGGAGAAAGATATTTTATATTTAATTTCAGTGGAAAATCTCACATTTAAACACGACACAAACCTTCATGATGCGACACACCAACATGGCTGGATTAACCTCCCACAGGTTTCTCGCCTCACACGTGATAAAAACTGTTACCTACCTTAATCCTCCGTCACATGACTGATCTCCCTCCTTCACCGCCTCCAGGCCAGAAACAAAAACTGAGCACATTTCCCATTAAGTGTAGATCACCAGAAACCATAACAAGTTACGGATTAACCGCATTATAAACATGACAGAAAACGATACCGCACTCAACCAAATAACGGACGTGTGTCTGGACCTGGTGGGAAACATCTGGGTCATTGTGACCTCAGCAAAAACTTGAACACACTCCTCCTACTGCAGAGAGAATAGAAATGTCACATTAATAAATATAAGAAATTGTTGTTTATTGTTGTGGATTTGTTCAGTCCAGAGTCTTGTTCCTCAGGTCTCTCTTGTTCTCCATCTTCTGGCCAAATGTCATTATCCTCATTAAGCACTGAGCCCATGTCAGCTTCATTGTACCTTGTCCTACGAGGCAAACGGGATTAGTTTAAACTAATACTGATCCTTATTCAGTTCTTAAAGGTCTCCAGATGAGATTTAATGGAATTCTAACAAAAAGCCACACAATCAAATTAGTCAACCACAAAGAAAAGAAAAAGGGAGGACCACAGTTAATTCTACTTTGTGTATAGATCCCGTAAAAGCTTTTCTCTTACCTTGTTAAAGGCTCATTTCACCCAAATTACAAAACCACATTTTCACAAAAACCTCAAGTGGTATTTGGCATCCAGGAACATTTTGAGTTATCTGAAGTTCTTACTCAGACATTTTCCACACAAAGTTCAGGATTTAAAACAGAGTAACTCATCCTCTTTTACATAATGTCACATTTTACACAATGTGACTTACAGTTTTTGAATTGTGGCCTTTAAAGCAACAGGAGAGCCGTCTGACTGTCTAAACACTTCAACTGCTTTCACCTAGTACTCATCAACTGACTCACACTGATATTTATTTATTCTTCAACTAACAGTTCAACTGCTTTCAGATCTCACATTTCAGCTGACACTTCAACTGTCGGTGCTTATTAACCAACATCTGAAACACACTTCAATTGTTTCCAGTGATTTCTGTTCAGCTGACATTTCAACTGCTTTCATCTCTTATCTGACATTTCAACTGCTTTCATCTCTTACTCAACAGACATTTCACCTGCTTTCATCTTTTCCCCTTCAAGCATTTACACTTTTACACTGTCATTGCTTGAACTTTTTCAGCACGTCTGTTCATTTCAGCTCTATTTTGACCGCTACTTCAACTTCCTTCAGTATTTCAACTACTTCTAATGTTTCATCTACAATTTACATGCAACATTCCTCTAGAAAATTCAGCATTTAATGTGACACATCGGATTATTTCAACTGAAGTGACTGAACTTGTGACGCTTTCTTAGAGTCACGACAAAGAGACACCAACTTAATGAGGCATGAGCTAGCCATTTATTGTTATTGAGGAAGTTAACATGGTTAACTGCATTGAAAGTCATACAATAAACCTCTTAAGCTTTGTGAGAGGTCCCTCCCTGTGTCACAGAGAGAAAGCTGTAGGAATATACATACAGTATATCTTATTGGCAAGTAGATATGTTTTTAGTAAGTACATTCTCCTCTACCTGGTACTCATGTACAATATACATGTTAAAAAATATAGTTTGTTTGCATTGCGATCACCGTTTTTTCCTTTTTTGTTCAGGATGTTCAGGATGAAAGAATTCACATTTAAGTGTTACAGGTTCTTGAATGGCGGTGGAAACTAAAGAGCACTGTTTTGTCTTTTTAATACCTATCACATACACATAGGCATATGCATAGAAGGCACGTCTATGCATCTAAATTGCTTACATGATAAATGGAAAGCAGTTTTATCATCTGCGAAAAAAACAAAAACAAAAAAACAAAAAAACAAAAACAAGAAAGAATTCAAGAACTTATGGCTGATCTGCAGCCACACTCTCACAGCACATACACGCATCCCTGCACACGCACACACACACACACGCGCACACGCACACACCACAGGACGCAAAACACCACAAACAAGCACTCCACTAAACATTAGACAAGTACAAACTCATCCGCTCCGACGATAAAACTGCATACAGTACACCACACTACAAAAGATCTCGTAACTCAGTCAGTGGATGGTGTTCACCCGGGAGAGACGCTTCAAAGAACACTTGCTGTGAAGCAGCAGCCGAGTGTTAGCAGAGTCCTCTGGTGGGAGGAGGAAGCTGCCCCCCCCCCCCGAAAAACACTGATTTCATGATTTTTTTAAAACACAAAGAACCTGTTCAATCCTGGATCAGTGGTGGCTGAGAACTGTCCCTCAAGGCAAAAGAGAAGAGCCGCTTCTTCCTCTTTTTTGTTTTTCCTCAATCAAGAGATTCCGAGTCAGCACTGTTACAGTAAGTTCAATCACGAGACTGCAGTTTCTCAAGGCGAGTGACGGTAAGCAAAAATGTGCAGAAGCTGGGAAGGCTTGACAAATGAAAATACTGTAGGCCACGTGTTTGAAATGAGTTAGTGAGTGAGTGAGTGAGTGAGTGAGTGAGTGAGTGAGTGAGTTTTCACCAGAGTAGAAAATATTTAACTTCCCTCAATACTGCAGCTGATTGAGAAGATAAAGTCCAAAGAACAGTTTGACATCTTGGAAAATACACCTTTGTGTTTTCTTGCACGGAGTTAGAGGTGACACAAGATACCACTCTCATATTTGTACACTACATATGAAGCTAGTGCTAGCGGGTGATTAGCTTAGCTTAGCTTAGCAGGAGGAAACAGCTAGCCTAGCTCAATCACCTTTTGGACAACTTGTCATTTTTACATTTTTTTATGGATCAAACAAAACAAGATGTGTTGGAGTAATTACTGACTTTAGAGGTGCTGGTAGGTGGATTTTATCTTTCTTTTGGACAAAATCAGGCCAGGTGTTTCCACCTGTTTATCTTTGTGCTTCTTTATGCTAAGCTAAGCTAATCTGCCATTGGATGTAGCTTCATGATTCGCATACAGACTTGAGAGTGGCATCACCGTTTAGCACCACCTCGAAAGCTCAACAATTAACACATTATATCTCGTTTGTTTACTCCGTCGTGCTGTGCCCTTTGGACAGAACCAGGCTAGCCGTTTACCCCTTTATTTTTTAGTGTTTACGCTAAGCTAATCAGCTGGTGGCTTGCTAGCTGGCTTCATATTTAGCGTGCAGACGTGAGAGTGGTGTCTATCTTCTCATCTGACTCTGTGCAAGAAATTAGATGAGTGATGTTCCGTTAAATGTTTGACTATTCCTTTAAAGTTTGATTAACATCAACAGAAAACAAGAAAATACTCTCCTATTGAAACCTGTATACTTGTGTGTGCATGTGTTTTAACTACTGAATCCAGCTGACTATCACAGGCCCAACAATCTACAACCACGACACTGACTATCTACACTGCCAAAGCTGAGAGATGTGTGATTGCTTTTTTAAAACAGTGACTCTTAAACTTAAGTACATGTGGTGCTCAAAATAGGCAATGGTACACAAAAAGGCATTTGTCTTTAAAAAGAACAATAAAGAATGAAAAAAAGTAATACGCACTTTTTAAAAAAAACAAAAACAAAACAAAAAAAAACTTAAAAAACAAAGTTTTTTTTATGGTTTTTGGCAGCCGGGCGTCTGTGGCGATGCCTGCAACTAAGAGACACAACTCCCCTGAAATCTTAATACGTCGTCACACTGACTTTGACACAGAAGTGCAGGCATGAAGGGGGGCAAAAAGAAATCACAACACGTGCCCCCCTCCCCCCCTGAAACTCCTGTGCTAACCCCAGATTAGAGTATTTATAAATCCACCAGGTGAATCAAGGCTTGACTGTAACTGTTATGCTGCTAAATAAAAGTGCAGCATTAAGGACATTCGGCTTGAGCTCAGGAATGGTTAACTAACAGACACTGTGTATCCCAACAAAAAGCATATTGAACCCCATGTGAACTAGAAAATAATAATAATAAAAATTAAAAGTTAATTCACACTCTGAACTGCCTGAATTTACATTTCTCTTCAAGGCGGTTCTGGCACAAAACAAAACAAAACAAAAAAAGGAATTAATGCTTAGAAGTCAGTGGATTATGATTCAACAGATCAACTGTAAGTGTGATATTACACTACAACTCCAATACTTCTTCATTAAGAGATATTACTCCATACAACACAGTGAAAACTAGACAGTAATCACTGGAGATTTTGCACCACTTTTGTCCAAACATAAGGTCTCGTCTCCCGCTGCTTTAAAGGCTTTTCAGGGCCGAATGGAGACTTTTAATTGGCTGAGAGACGTGGATAAAATAATTTGTGGTTTTGGCACAGGCCTCGTTCAGGAAACTCCTCACTTCCGTCTACACAACACAATTTACATAACTTTCCTTTGGTTAATTAAAAAAAAAAAAAAAGAAAAACGTAGAAAAAGGAGAGATGAGCAAAAGGTTAGCTAGGTTTTTCCCTCTGAGGAGAGTGCTCGCTGTTTGCAGCCCTTGTCGCGGCGAGATTTACAAAGGCTAAACCCAAACTGCGGTTTAGTCGGGGGATTTAGGCTTCTCAAAGGCTCTTCTGATGATCACAGTGGTTTAGAATTCAACTACAGGGCAAATGTTCATGTAAGATGAGCGAGAACAGGAGGACCCTGGTGTCTGGTCTCTCTCACGTTTCTGTGTTGTTGTTGTTGTTGTTGTTGTTGTTGTTTTTTGTTTTGTTTTTTTGTTTTTTTTTTTTCCTCTATTGTTCCATGTCAACACGGTCAAGTCTCAGGCGTCAAGGTGTGGCTGGCGAAAAAACCTGTCAGGTATCAAGATCCTGAAGGAGACAGAGACAAAAAAACAAAAATGTGATTTGTATTTATGTAAATTCTCAAATACTTCATTTACCTCACCTGCAGAGAAACCTGCGGCGTTACTGGCTGGTTTCACACACCGGCCTTTATTCCTAATTTTACAGTTTAGACAAAGTGGATTTTCTCTCATCTTCTTCTTTTCTGCTGTTTTAATTTGCTCTTGATATAAACTCAAAATTTCCTCCATATTTAGCTGCTGTCATGAATAAACTGTTGCTGTGTCTCAAATCAGATACTTCAGTCACTACGCTCACACGTAGTACACCGTGCTCTGTAAACAACAGCGTTCTGTTCCCGCAAAATCAATCACTGCTGTTGTGCACTCACCGGGGAAAGACGATCGTATCATGTGACCATGTCGCCCACCTGTCCGGCTGCTTTGCTCACTTTACTGTGAATGAACGTTTTACTTTCCCGTGTCCTTCTTTCTCGGTCGCCATGGTTCTTTAGCTTTCTGCTGAGGAGCCAAGATGGCGACCGTTGAAGGATGAGAAATGCCCATCGTTTGTTTTTTTACCATTTTGAGTGCACCATGTTGTTTTTTTACCTTGATTTATTCAGGGTAGTTTCACTTTCACATAAGGATTTGGATAAGTGCTGTTCTTTCCCTTTTTCCTGCCAGTCTGGGGATCGAACCGGCGGCCTTCCAGGCACAAGCCCGCTTGTCGATGTGAACACACGTACGCTCCCAAAACAACAAGTGTGAGTGTAGAAGTACATGAACTGAGACACAGCAGACATAAATGCAGCATGACGTACGCCTCAGCAGCGCTAACTCCGTCTTTACAACATCGTCAGGCCACACGTTTTTCTTTCTCTCTCTTCATCTAAACACACAACAGGACAGAGGTGACAGGAACCGGGGGGGGGGGGGGACCGGGGAACTGGGGGGGATAGCCCACAAAGTTTTCACTCAAAAATGGATTTTAATACTTGTGATCAATGTGACCTGGTTTCTGATCAAGCTACTGAACTTTCTGCGCAGACATTTCAAAATAAAAGTCATCCGGTGGTTCAAAAGGTGTAATCCCTCTTTTCTCCTGGTAGACCTGAGAGCAGTATTGTTCTTAGTAGCAATAGATTTTTTTGGCCAATGAGCTAAAAACACAAAAACCTATTCTTTTGTACGAGGAGCAGCATGTTGTTGTTGTTGTTGTTGTTGTTGTTACCTGGAACTGATAGAGCACTGGGGTCAAAGGTGAATCTCATCTGAAGCTCTTCTGCTGCTGCATCAGGCCCACGTTCTCATACACTCTAGAGCTGTCCTCCCTCATCCTGGCATCACACACACACACACACACACACACACACACACACACACACCAGTGAGAAACTACTCACAAGGCTTTCAGAAAGTGATTTAATAGCGACCTAGAGAATTGAACAGGTTCCTGCAGCAGCCTTTTACCAGCAGCGTTACTTACTCTGTGCAGGTGGGAGTAGGAATAGGAGTACAAGGAGGCAAAGGGCTCTGCTCCCCTCCAGTCAGGTCAGACATAGAGTACTTAATGTTGGTGTACTCGCGCCCTTTAATCTTACTTTTCTGTAGAGGAGAGGAGGACAGTGGGAGGTTAGAGACAGGAGCAGGAAAAAAAGAAAAGAAAGCTAAACTGTTAAAAAGAAGTGAAGCGTTGTGCGCTGCACACCTGCTCTTCCTCTATGCGTCTCTGCAGCGTCTCTATGTAATGCTGCACAGCCATGTAGATGAATCTGTACTGCGCCTCGGTCTGCACCATCCCAGAGCGCTGAGAACGAACCATCTGGATGGTCTTTGGCACGTCGATGTCACAGTCCACCCCTGCAACATGAACACATGAAACTTCACACTGACACATCCTCAGTGCTGCTAACAGAGCAATGACGTAAACTGTGTGTGTGTTATCATTATAACTCTGTCTGTTAATCAACTAATGACAAAAGAGGCAATAAAAGTGTTACTCAAATCTATTTCTAACATTACAAGATATTGAATGCAGCCTATTTCACGCTGACTTTCCTTTTTAAAGCAAATAAATACCTAAAAGTGTCGTTTTTAAAAAGGATTACTCAATGGTAACTCTTGTTTTTCTGCTTATTGTCTTGTTTTATTTTGTTTGTTTTATGTTTCTGCACGTCCATGTTTTATGCCGGTTTGAATCTCTGTGTTTTCTCTGTGATAATGTGAAACACTGTACAATCAGTGTCCAAAACAAAGAACAGCTGTAGTGGATTGCATAAACCTCTACAGGTGTTTTCTAACGAAGTGTTTGTGCCTCAGTGTAAATAAAGCTGGATTGAATCTCCGTTAGATTCTATCAGAATGAAAGACACAGGCGTGTGGACTCACCTTTTTCTCTGATCACATCTATCAGGATGTCGATCACTATAAACGTTCCCGTCCGCCCGATCCCCGCGCTGCAGAACGGAAGAGAAACCCTTTGATTCAACATGTCCGCTCCTCCAATGGAGTCTGTGACAGAGTGTACTCAAGTGTTTGTGTGTGTGTGTGTGTGTGTGTGTACCTGCAGTGTACCGCTATAGGCCCGGCGTCCAGTATGCTCTCCTGCTTCAGGTTGACTTCCTCTAAGAAGTCGAGTACGCCGCCCGGGTCGGTGGGGACGCCGTGGTCCGGCCAGGCCCTGAAGTGGTACTGCCAAACTGTACGTTCTGTGTTGCCCTGAACACACACACACACACACACACACACACACACACACACACACACACACACACACACATATGTATTATAACACTCATTTGAAAAGATGTTTCCCCTACCTGACTTCAAGCTTCCACTTTGTTTATTTATATCCACACACACACACACACACACACACACACACTTACCTGTCCCACTTTGGACAGTTTGAGCTCTCTTAAGATGTAGTCGTGTGCCGCCGTCTCTCTGACATTGCGAACGCGCATGGCGCCGTACTCCTTCAGAGCCGAGACGTCGGGCCAGTACTTCACACACTTACTCTGCGGAGACACAACAACACTCACTGTCTCACACCTCCACCACACCACCACAGCTGTCTGACGATCACAGCTGGAAATACAAGTCATCGGTCACATGCGACTCTTCTCTGGATTTCTCTGTTCACATTGTTTTTTCTCAGCTAGAAAACATTTTAAAGATCAGACTGTTTCATCTTTCATGAGTGTGATTCATTCATGCCTCCGTGTCTTCACGACTGGACGATTGTAATGTTTTACACTCCTGCCTCGGGTAAGGAGCTGTAGCTCATCTGCAGCGTCCACAAAGAAAACAATCTCTCAGATGAGCCAGCACCTTCTAGATGTTCCAAGAGCTCGACGTGACACAACGCTCAGCATGTGCCCCGAAACTTTGTTGTAGTTTAGCTCTGACTACGAGACGGTCCCGCTCAAATGAAACTTTTTAAAACTGATATCTGTCACTTTGTAAACTAATAATCTAATTTGCTGATTTTGTTGTCGTTTCTATTTCTGTTTTATTTACTATATTGTGCTTTTTTTTTCATGCTTTCAATGTGAAGCACTTTGTAACTTTTGTTTTGAAAAGTTTTATATAAATAAAGCTTTACTTATTTACTTACACACATGCACCAAAACCAAATGTTTTACTGAAGTGAGAATAAATCGTAGCTGCACTGAAAACATCTGGACGCTCAGTTCGTTCACACTGTCGCCTTCAGGGACGACAACTGCACCACAGCAAACTACAACATGTCTTTAAGCTTTGAGGAGTGGACCCGAATTAAATTAAAGCTTAACACTTAATCTTTCCGCTCACCTTCCCCCTCTCCACCTCTTTGGTCGTCATGACGATGACTCGAGAGTTTTCCTGAAACACCATCCTCCAGAAGTCACTGATGGTGTTCTGCAGACAGCCCTGAGTGGCAATGTAGCTCTTCTTCACCTTGGTACTGTTACACTTTGAGTCCAGCTCCGGCTGCGCACACACGCGCGCACACACACACACACACACACACACACACACACAGGCAGACATGACAGTCAGCTGAGTGCCTCGTGTACAACAGAGAAATACAACAAAGAGTCAAAACACGAGCAGAAACTGACAGACCACACATGCTGGTCGACTACAGGATGAAACTGACTGATGCAGTTCTACATCCAACTATCTACACATTAAAAAATGATGTGTGTGTGTGTGTGTGTGTGTGTGTGTGAGTCCCCTGAGGATGAAGTGAGTTTACCATGACAGTGGATACTACCATGATGATATTGGCGTTGATGTAGTCGGAGCCCGGCTCATTTAGGTCCCCATCATTCAGCACCACGCGTGTGTGGTCGACTGCAAACACAGAACAACAACAACAGTCAGTCAGTCAGTCGGTCGGTCGGCTTTCACCATCCCCTCAGGTGATCCGCTGCACCGTCACACTGAGAGGCTGCTGTAAGTGGAGGAGCAGCGAGTGTCTCTCACATGGCAGAATGTTCTTGTATCTGTTCTTGTTTTTGTTCTCGGCTCTCTGGCCCTCTTTACGACTGTAGAGCAGCTTGCACTCCTGTTGCTGCAACGTCTGGACGAGGAGGAGAGAGAGAGAGAGAGAGAGAGAGAGAGAGAGAGGGAGAGAGAGAGAGAGAGAGTCACATTTCAACCAAGACTTCGAACATCTTTAATCACACTGCTGGGTATTTATTCAAGCCCTTTTCAGACACGGAGTACGTTACATAACTGGCCTCATCTATCTGTGAAAGTGATGGCGTTCGGTCGTTCAGATATGTAAATGTTTGTTGTGGCTTTATTCAGACCTGACAGCACATTTACAGAAAGAGTCACAGAGAGAGAGAAAGAGAAAGAGACAGAGGGGTCGTGTCGGAGCTGGAGAAGTCATGACGACGAGGAAGAAAAGTTTTCTCTGCATCACTGAAGGATCTCTCACAGATAAGAACCGGTTGGTAGCACCTGGCCTCTCGTGAACCTGTAGTTCTGCGGTGTGTTGCGTCGAGCCCCTTATTTACACGCGCTGCTCCGAGCGGACGGTTGTTTTCTGACGTTTCCGCCACCACATATTCCCACAGCTCGTCTTTCATTTTTGCCTCCACACCGTGGAGAGTCGTAGTGAACGCGGACAGGAAGAACAGGAAGCAGGTCTGATTCACCATGAACTGCAGCTGAACCCAATCCCCTGGAAATTCTCATCATCATTTTAGTCAAATTTTTTTCTGCACAAATGCAAAAAAGACTAAACAATACCGGATCACTCACGCTGACAACTGATCTTATCGAATAAACACAAACAGAGAGCCCGGACTCTTCTGAAGGCAGCCGAGTGACGCGCATCGACCCATCGACACAACCACTGTGACACTGACGTGGACAGTCTTACAGGATTTTTGGAGGCCGACACTGATCTGGTTATTTGTAGAAATAAAAACAAACTTTTGGAAACAGTGACACTGGTCGTGTTCTGAACTCTGTTACCTGTGAAAATAAACTTTTTGCTCATGTTGTAATGACTGATGTGAATATTCACATGTTTCACTGCTTAATTAAAACAGATTCTGTTTCCTTTGTGCATAAGAGAAGATAATGAAGAGATCGATGTACTGTAGGTGCAGTCTCTGTTTATGCCTGAGCTGCTGTGGCCTTTTATGTTCATCTGATAACATTTAATACAAGCTGAAAATGTTACAGCTTCAACCTCATTGACTTTTACGTAGAAGTGACTCTGGAGCTCAGCGAGATGTGAAACCATCACGTTTATTTAACAAAGCGCACGTCTGAAAAGGGCTTTAGTGATGTTTTTTGTTTTGTGAGAAAAGACACAAACTAAATTTTTGTTTGCTTCATAAAAAGATTAGAACCAGACAGAACCACTCACCTCAAATTCTTCCCAGAAGCCCTGTTTGACCTTGTCTGTGGCTTCCGCAAGTTTGCTCAGCTCCCTAACTCGACTTTCGATCTCTGCCGCGTTAATACGAGTAGTGTTCAGAGGCTGCGGAGGAGAACGAGTCAGGACAGAGATTAGAATCGGAAAACGCCGCCGTCGCTTCCTGCTGGGGGAAAACAGGGGGATGGCGACGTTACCTGTTTTAGCTGAAGCACGGTGCCCAGAGTTTCCACCATGGGGTTCTTTTTGTAGTGCTCTACCAAGTCGGTGAGGGAGTCGAACTTCTCGCCTCCGCCGACGTCGTATTTCAGGTCGTGCTGAATGAGAAGCCACAGCCACATCAGCAACAAGTACAACAGAGCAGTGTCACCATCATGAGACAACCAAGATGTTTACGAGCACAGAAACAATAGGCAGATTGTAATGAGATGATAAACTGCAGTTCACAGCTGATTTGATTAGATTCAGCCACAATCAGGATCTGAAACTTTAAAAATATCAATAAATAAAATAATAATAAAAGTCTTACCAACATAAATCACTCCTTATTTCAAATACTGAATTAGCAATACCACAGGAAATGATGTCACCAAAAGTAAACATGGGCAGTGATACACTTTAGTTTAGGATGGATTTAAATGCAACTGGCTGGATGTTGGTAAACACAGTGTCATTCCTCTGAGTCTGGGCTTTTTAATGGAGCTGTATGGGCGCAGGTCCGTGTGAATTCATTAGAAAAAGTTTTGTGTTAAACCGGGAGGAGCTGGGGCCGAGTGGAAGTAGCATTAGCTGCTAACGCTGGCGTTACTTCCCCTTTGTTTACAGCTCCTCCCTGTAGCCGTCAGGTCTTCTTACATGAGTGATGAGGGTTAAGGGTCAATGTCAGCAGCTCTGTTTTAAAACCACAGGGACAAATGAAAAGCCTGGAACAGCAAAATAATTCTACTGATCTATAAAAATATCTACTGTTCTTTATTATTCGTGTTTCGTTATTATTCGACTTTTTGTCCATGTCGGGCTCCTGTAGGAATGACGGCTCTGTTTTCCCAGTGTTCTGATTGGTCTGTGTTCGGGCTGCTGGCAGGTAAGATGAGATCGTCTGAAGTTAACCTGCTCTGGTGCAGGTTAGCTGCGCATCATAGGTTACCATGGTGATGTAGACCTGTTAAAACTGGGCCAGCTGTGTGATACTGGAGAACCAGATATAATCCTCAAAGATAACCCACTAATCCTGCTTCATGCTACAGGCCCCAGGTTTTCTCAGATCCCCTACCCCGATTACAGAACGCTGCACGCACTCCAGCAATAAAAACATCTGGATCATTGCGGGAGTTACAGCAGCACGTCTTCACATCTGTACCAGTCAGGATCACGCCTTTAACGGAAAGTGTTAAGGTCCGGGCAGTACTGGTACCTGCACGCTTTACGGTAGCACTAACTGCTGTGACAGAGGGGATGTGAGGAGGCAGGGACAGACAGAGGAGATGAGGAGTGTTGTTTACCTTGCAGCAGATCATGACGTGAGTGACTTTGGGTTTGCTGTCACTGCTGTCCGTCTTGTCGTCTCCTGTACGAACCGACAGGACAAAATCCCCCGGATGGCTCTGGCTCTCTCTCACCAGGAAGCTGCCGTTCTTCCCTTTCTCCGTCAGCAGCTTCTCAGCCTCCCGGCCCGACAAGTGTCCGTGGAACCATCTGGCAAAAACACACATACCAGTAAAACAGGTTTCAACCGGACTCTTAAAAAACATCTGCTTCCATTGTTGATGAGGATAAACGTGTAACTTATTTTCTTTAATGGCTTCACTGCTTGTTTACATGAATAAATCAAGGATGTTTATTGTTTGCAAACATGGTTAAACAAGCAACAAACAATAACTTGAAGGATCTATTCCTTGAAACTCAACAGATAAGTGAAACACTAAACATTTTCTCTTGTTTTCATCCTGACATGCCTCAAATACATCTCACCTTCCTGCAACTAAAGTGCAGCTTCACGCACAAAATCCATTTTCTGCAGCATGACAGTAAAAGAGAAAACATGTCCGCCTCCAGGTGTGGTCATCAGATCCCATCACATCACATACACCTTGAATTAAACGTGCACTAAACAAGTCAAACAATCAGCTCACTCATTAAATACGTGGCTTTTGCTCTGTGATGTTAGACCGCTGCTCGTTTTCCCTGAAGCTTCTCTATTTCAGACACAGCGGGACAACACCGCTATAAAACACCGCTGGAAACCCTGATTTCATTTCTGGGAAAATAAAAACGTGGCAGTATATTTGTTTTACTGGCACGTATTTTTCTTAATTAACCAAACAACTGGAGTTGTGAAACTGCACATATTGTATTAAGGGAGAAGACAAAGTGGATGAATGTAATGGGAACACAGTTTGCCACAAGGTCTATAACCACTACAGTCAGCTAGTTCCTCTTTCTCAGGATGGAAAAGTACATTTTCACAGTAATTCCAGTTAATGTGATGAAGTGTAATCAGTTGAGGAACCTAAGTATGTGTATAGATCACAAATACTGGTTACTCCCATTAGGCTGACAGCAGCTCTGTTCAGCAGAGACACAGAGGCTTTCTTGAGACAGGCCTCCTCCATTATTTGCAATCTACAACGCACTCAGTTGCCAGTTTATTGGGTGCCATCTCAACTTAATGCAGTCTAATGCAACGACTCTCTCTGCTGATATATACGGAGGTGTTTCTAATATTGTGTCCACCCCATTTAAATCGGTAATGGTTCATTAAATATAAGAAAAACACATTAAATGTTAGTTATGCTGGTAATCACTCATCGGGTCGTCACCACTCACCTCTCTGAGGTGGGATCAGCACAGTTGAGCGGATACTTGAGCTCAATGACGTCACCGTTTTTCTCCTTCAGTTGCCCATGATGCTCCATGTAATACTGCACCAGCTCTGCAAGAGTGGCAAACTTCTCCCCGCCGTACAGGTCGTAGTAGTCTCCCGTGTTCTGGATCTTAATATGAGTGACGGCTCCATTTCGCCTGCAGAGAAGCACAATCATTTAGAGGAGTGTTACCAGCAGGAGTGAGATCATCATCATCATCATCATCATCATCATCATCATGACGTAAACAGGTCCCAACAGGAAGCTTATGTTCGTCCTAAAGAGTCCTGTTAATGAGTAAAAATCTAACTGTTTTATATTCAAAGTCTCACATACACAGTCAGCGTGGCGTCATTATTACATTAGATTCACCTGTGTTTCAGGTTTATTCAGGGAAATGTGGAAAACATGTTAAACCCCAAATATATACTTAAGATTAATTATTAGTTGATTATTTTCAACTATTCTAATAATGGATTCAAACATTGCCTCGTTCCAGCTTCTCAGCTCAGAGGATTTTCTCCATCTTATGTGACAATAAATGGATGAACAAATGAATAAACTTAATCAATTAAACTGTTTTCTCATCGCAAACTGAACATATTTGGACTGTTGTAATCAGATTCCATCAACAAGGACTCTGAGACAACAGGATTTTTCTGACATGTTATAGAACAACTGATTAATTGAGAAAATAATCAGTAGATTAATCATTAGCTGCAGCTCTACTGAGTGTCTTTGGGTTTTGGATCGATCAACAAGCAACTCCACGAAACTGTGACACTTTTATGACACATCACAGACCAAACAATTAAATGAATGTTCAGCATATTAATCAATAATGAAAATTATTATTAGCTGCATGTTTTGTATCCTCCAACCCTTCTGATGCAGAGCACATGCATGATGATTAAAATGAGCAAAGCGGTGAACAGTTTAACACCACACACACACGCGCCTCCAACAACACAGGCACCCTCCCTGCTATTAAAATAAACTGTGAAAATATTAAGTGGCAGAGCGCCGACACCGAGGCTCAACATTGGCAAATTTTAAAAGGAAACCACCACGTTTTTATGACACAAACCAGATAGACGCCGTACGCTGCGCTGAGTCATTGTAGGTGACCACCATTATTCCGGAAAATAGAAAAAAAAAGGAGAACTTGTGGCAGGTCTGAGGTTCAGTAGCATGTAACCTTGGATGACTTTTGGTTAAGTCTGGCAGAATGTGCACATAAAGAGACAGACGTGCTGGTTTGAACCAGCGGAGACTAGTCTCCCTGTGGAAATGTCCCCGTTTCCACAAGAGGAGCACGACTTGTTTTGTTTCCATAGGAAGTAAATATGGTGCGAGATGAGAGACTGTACGGCTAAAATATGAGACTGTTACAAAAATACCACTGGCTACATCAGCTAAACTGAGTTAATGATACTTCATCTTAAAAATTTATGACTCTACAGGCCCTTAGATAAAACCACTAACTGTTTTTTTTTTTTTTATTAGTAAAAGGTTGGTCGTCCTTCTCTGGATGATGCTGGTTTCCCACCATCATCCAACACAGTTCATGCTGAAGATGGAGCAGCATTTGTTGTGGGGATCTTTTTTTTTTTTTTCAAATAATTATCCCAGCATCATTTAACAGTGAGTATCACATCACATTTAAAGCTGCATTAGGTGATTTTTCTTGCAGGGGAACCAACTGAAAACACAACACTGACACATCATATCATCTGATTAAGCTGTGTGAAGCGTATGAGCAAAAACAGTTGCCTATCACACACCCAGGAGGCACAGAGCAACATTATCTTTCATTTTCAAGTTTTATTCGTTTCCGATTGATAAATGTAAGTCCAATATTTACTCCCCTGTTAGTTCCGGTTTCATCTGAACCAACTTCTAACTGAAATATCTGGCTCTTACGCTGCCAAATGTAAATCATCATCTTTAGTATTATGTAAGCTAGCCGACAGACTGATGTCCTAAAAAGCAAAGTATGCATAATTAACATGTTGCTTAAGGTTTGAATTATAAATAACTGAGATAAAATTCAATTTGTCTGTTCCTCAGGGGTCTACTCCAGACAGCAGGTTTAACAAACTGAGTCTAACCCTGAACTCGGAGCTGACGAGCCCTCAGACGGGAAACTCTGAGTTTTCTGTTCCAGAACAGCTGATCTGAGTTAGTTCAATCAACTCTGAGTATGTTCACTCTGAGCTGAGAGCGTGCATGAGGAATATAAAACACCATCATCAATGGAGCTCCGATTCAATGATTCACCGTGGCAACGGGTAAATAAACAGCAGAGTCTCCATTTGAATCCAGCGCAGGCAGAAAGATGAATGTGTGACATTAATGCACATTTATCTTTAAGAAACAACAGCAGCAGAGGAAGAGTCTCAGCTGGAGAAAAGAGTCAATAAGTTCAAACTATTACATTTTATTCATTGTTGTCCACTAGACACATTATTTAGCAGATTTTTTATTTCCTTGAGCTGGAATCTGCTGTTGGTTAGATTAAATGTTTGACTATATTTATTCAGCCGTGACCTGATGGGGACAAAGAAGAAGATGAAAATATAAACCAAACAGATAAGACAGAAGTTTATCTATAGATCTTGAGTGTAACCTCACAGTGGGACCCAGTAACAGCCTCATGGTTTTGATGATTTTCAGTTGAAAAAGCGTTGAGGTTAAAACTGAGTACATTTTCAGGCATCTAGAATTTTTGACACAGCATTATATTGTGCTGCTTTATGCACTCATGAATGCCACCATCACTTACCGTACTGAGAGGGTGAAGTCTCCTGGATTACTCTTACTGGGTCTGGCTAAAAAGCTCCCATCCACCCCACGAGTCAGCAGGAGGTTTTCAGCCTCCACACCTGTGATGTTGGGGTGAAACCACCTGAGAGAGAGAGAGAGAGAGAGAGACAACGATCAACCTAATTTACTGTATCATGCACTTAATTCACTCTCCACCGTTTCATGTGAGTGTCCACGCTTTCAAAAATCACAAGTATTGTCCATGGCATGTAAAATACTTTTTTCTAACAATCACACCGAAGCAGTGAGTTTTACAGATGCCAAAACTGCACTTGGATCTTAAACGACTTAAACTTTATCGTCCACGCACAGAAAACTGTCTTGTAGCCCAGTAAAGCACAGAACACACACAGACCTACTGTACATGCAGCCATCAATTGTCCATGGCAACAACATGGACGACCAGTTATTGTGATGAATGATGAATGTGTTTGAAATCCCAATTCACTGTTCACTACAGACTTAACTATTGAGCGTGAATGAGGGAGCGCTTTCAGTCTTCTTTTTAACCACCGTCGAGGATTTGTGAACGAACCTCTCAGACCAAATATCAATGCATGCTGTGTTCTGTAAGCACTGTTTGGGATTAAAATACTCCTTTCTCTTTCCCCGTCTTTTTTCCAGGACTGTGTGTCTCTTTGGTTCATGTCTCATGTCTGTGCTTCAGCCAGACATCTGTGATCCAAGTCTTCATCGTCCAGCAGGCTCAGAACTGTCTTCACATCATATGTTGCGTGCGATTAACTGCTTCATCCTCTCTTGGCATCTTGTATCTTCTCCATCTGTGTGAATATTATCCTTGAGTTCTGCCTCTCGTACCAGGCGTTTGATCGGCCCCAAATTCATTCTGCAGCAGGACATCGAGCCCAAACATAAGGAGTCGTGCAACAGACGGTCTGGTCCCCACAGAACCCTGATCTCAACATCATGGAGTCAGTCTGGGATCAAGAGACAGAGGACACTGAGACAGCCTGAATCCACAGAAGAACCGTGGCCGGTTCTCCAAGATGCTTGGAACAAACGAACCTGCCAAGCAACTGAAAAACTGTTTGTAGTACTGAGGAGAAGTGGTGCTGTTTTAAAAGCTGAAGCACAGCAAATGCTGTTTACTGTTGTTTGTGTGAAGTAAATTCATGAACAAAAACTATTTGTGGCATTACTAAAGCGTTCTCACTTTACTTTTAGTTCCTGTCTGTCCTCTTTCCAAGTTTTCATGGTGCAGGGGAGGTTTTGTGGTTAATGTCTTACCAGCTCTTGGCAGAAACTGAAACTCACTCAACATCTTCTCTGTAATACGGAACATCCACTTCAAACACATTTAAACTCTTCCTGAAACCTTTTAACCTTTTACACTCAAATGTATTTTGATCTTCACATAATGATGCATGTGCAGAGGTCGACACTAGAAAACAGTTTTCACGCTCAGCTGCTGAATGTAAAAAGTTTCTCTGTGCTCACCTTAAATCTGTGTTTAAGTCATGCACCTGCAAGCATGACTGATGGTATGTATTGGTCCGTGTGTATATATATAGTAATATATTAGTACTAGTTACAAAACTTTTGAAATGAAAGATATTTGTATATGCATAGATTATGGGTTTTTCAAATAAGGGAGAAGGTGTAAATGCCTTTAAACTTTTTCTAATTGATGATTCACAGCAGAGCATTTTTATGTCTTACAATGACTGAATGGGATCTTTAATATCTAAAAGAAATATGACATGTTTGTGCTTGTATTGTCATTCTGTTTCTTCATGTTCTACTGCTGCTATTTCTATCTACTCTTTCTATATAACCGCTTCTTCGTGTTTGACTGGCCTGGAGGAGGGTTTTCCTCTTCTGTTGCTCTTCCTGAGATTTCCCCAGCAAAAGGTTGTTATTTTCTTTTCCAAATCAAAGCTCTGTGAACAGAGGCTGTCTTTAACTGCTCTGACACCAGTCTGTGATTGTGTGCTATGCAAATAAAACTGATTTTACTCGGGGGTTCAAAGAAGTATTGTCGGGGATTTAAACAGCAGCTCCTGTCACAACAAACCTCCCCTGTGTTTTTTAGACAACAGTTGTGTTCGGTTTTCAATGAGTGTAGCTAGTCTATACTTTTCCTACTACTAACCATGATCTAAGAACGGTTAACTAAAGCAGAACCACAGGTTTGATATCAGACTTAAAGCGTTAACAGTGTTTAGTAAACATCTTCAGACTGGGCTCTAAGTTGCCGGTGTGTGCTAAATGAAGCAGTGTTTAGCTAGCTGCTCCTCTGCCATCACTTTTCTTTCCAGAAACGTCGACACACTCAGACCCTGTTCGCCGACAGTCAAACATCCAAACAGCTGAGTTTAGTTAAAGCTAGCTCGGCTAACATTTCCAGCAGACATTGTTTTCCAGACTTACCTCCGAGATGTCATTTTTTTCGTTCCTCACTTCCTCGCTGGCAGTTAGCGGTAGCTTCAACTAGCTGGCTAACGTTTCCGACCGTTTCTGCTTCGATCACAGGCTAAAGTGCTTCATCGGTTCACCCCCGGTCAAAACGGGCACCGAAATCCGGGCATCCACACACAATTTTAACGGCGGGCGTTTACAAAAAATAAAAAAAAAGTCTTTAGGCCTCGGCCCCGGAGACTTCACAGCAACTCGATTACTGGACGTCTTCTTCTTCTTCTTCTTTTTCTTCTTCGTTCCAATGGCCAATTGCAACCAAACGGATCATTACCGCCACCTAGTGCTCAGTCCTTAGAATTACAGAACGTCACCGAACATGCGACAAGGTAGAGGGAGCGCGGATATCTTCACCTTGCGCGGCCTCTCTTCGCTGTCGCTTCGCCCTCAGTTGAAGCCACAGAGCTCGACCCCATCCTCCGGCATGCAGCGTGACATAAATTAAACAGCCCTGTCGCGTTTCTATTCGCGCATGCTCATTAAAGGCTTACCGGGGGAACAAGCGGTAAGTGGCGCGGAGCGTCACCGCAGGGTTCGCCAAGATTCCGCAACGGGACGCCGTGCTTGCGTCAAACACAAACTTTGCAGCTACACTGCTTAAATAGAACATTTTATCAATCAGTCTGTTTTCTATTCTCCGGGAGCGTTTTGATGGAGTTATATTTTAACCCTTGAGTTTGGTTTCTATTGCCTTTATTGTCCCTTATTGAGACTCTAACAGACCCCAATGTGTAAAAAATAATACTGCTAATTGAAAAATAAATCAACTGTTCTCTCAGATATTCTTTTATTTTACTTTTCTTCTGTTCTTATTAAAACCAAATATGTAGAAAAGTACTGAAGTGGTAACCATTGACTTTGACAAAATGGCCTTGCACATTTAATGGATGTGACAACAAACTGAAATGACCATAAAGCAATGTTAATACACCAAACAAGAAATATTCAATACATATTCCTTTTGCCAGTGTGTTGTGTTAGTGACATTACTGATTTTGTTTGTTCATGACTGAACTGTTACAAAACTCCACTAATCGGAATCAAAACATCTCACTATCTAACCATGTTTTCATGTTTTTGTTTTTATGTGTTGTTCATAAAAGATTCCAACCAAAACGAATGCACTTGTTCAGCCTTCTTCTCCTTATCTCTAACTCACTCAAATGACAGCCACCACAGCTGATGCCAGAGTTGCCAGGTTAGCTGTCACAGTGTCTGAGGATGTCATGTGAACAGACATTTCTGACATGTACTTTCAGTGACATACCAATGTGCCAGGGCCTGCTGCTGACAGCTGCCACAGTGTGGGGACTCACTAATGACAGCAACAGGGAAAAAGATGTGAAACACTTGTGACATGTTTGAGTGCTGAAGATGCTGAATAAGAATACTGTAGGCTAAAGTGAGGTGGCTCAGGTGGGAAATAACTATATCAAGATGGATAATTAAAAATAAGGTAGTTCAATGTGTCAGTTTATTAGTGTGCTTTAAGTAAAAGCACCTTATACACAAATGTTTATATAATATAAAGAACATTACATTTAGTTGTTATAAGAATATATAAATAATTGGTTATGGAAGGTCTATGCCATTTCTAGTTTATTTTCAGATATTAGACACAACTCAAGTCAAAACAGAGGAGGCTGTGGTGTTCACAGATTATTCTATAACATTGTTCATGATGATTTTGTTACATTGTGGTTGCACTTTGGGGGCCCTTATTTTTAGTGTAGTCTATCTAACCTGTTTGTTTTTAATTATACACAAGAACAAATACCGTACACTTTTGAATTACTTTTTTAGTGTTAATAATATTTAACATCTAAGCGCTTCTCCCGACAAAATATAGGTATGGTGTTCGCCAGATGTTGCTGTGATGATCTGCTCGTCTTGACAGCCTCTGCGCCCTCTGAAGTTTGTCCCTCCCCGGCTACAGTTTAAATCCGTACGTGGCAGTCACAGAGCGGTACACCGCAGCCGAAGCTGGAGCGGCTCCTCTCCTGCAACAACTCACTCAAACAACCAGACATCCTGCACTCCTGCGGGATATACTGTGTCAGGGATACATTTTATATCGCCAGACTTGCTGTAACGGTCGCTTCATAACATTTGAAACATGTTTACCGTGTCGGAGCTGGTTGTCTTGCTGGCCGTCCTGTCTGCCACCGCGTCCGGCTACTTCGTTAGCATAGACGCCCATGCCGAGGAGTGCTTCTACGAGCGGGTCAACTCCGGCACCAAGATGGGCCTCATGTTTGAGGTTGCCGAAGGAGGGTTCCTGGACATCGATGTTGAGGTGAGATATGTCACTGAGATGATAAACCAAGCATCTAACATGGTGAAATACATGTATTTTGACTTAACTTGTTTGGTGCTACACAAGGCCTGTGCTAACGTTAGCTATTAGCGGTTAGCTACCTGCGTAACGTCAAGTGGAACTAGTCAGGTGCTTCCCGGGCTTATGGCTTTGTATATCACTGTTATTTTAATTTCTGGACAAAATATTGCAGGGACATCATTTTGTCTGTTTTGTGCTAAGGAGTGTGTGACACTGACTGATTAATTATGCATAACGATACAGGAAGTGTAGCGTTAGCATATGTCCGGCTAGCTGACTATACAGCCAGTAAGGTGTCTGAACTAATAATACACTGTGAGGGCAAATATCCCTAATCATCTTGTGTTTTTTTATTCTGTGGAAACGCTGCTCTGCTTTTAAAAAGCACAACTGAGTGTTTTGATCCCCCCCCCCCAAGNGAGTGTGTGACACTGACTGATTAATTATGCATAACGATACAGGAAGTGTAGCGTTAGCATATGTCCGGCTAGCTGACTATACAGCCAGTAAGGTGTTTGAACTAATAATACACTGTGAGGGCAAATATCCCTAATCATCTTGTGTTTTTTTATTCTGTGGAAACGCTGCTCTGCTTTTAAAAAGCACAACTGAGTGTTTTGATCCCCCCCCCCAAGATTTTCTNACAAACTGAAATGACCATAAAGCAATGTTAATACACCAAACAAGAAATATTCAATACATATTCCTTTTGCCAGTGTGTTGTGTTAGTGACATTACTGATTTTGTTTGTTCATGACTGAACTGTTACAAAACTCCACTAATCGGAATCAAAACATCTCACTATCTAACCATGTTTTCATGTTTTTGTTTTTATGTGTTGTTCATAAAAGATTCCAACCAAAACGAATGCACTTGTTCAGCCTTCTTCTCCTTATCTCTAACTCACTCAAATGACAGCCACCACAGCTGATGCCAGAGTTGCCAGGTTAGCTGTCACAGTGTCTGAGGATGTCATGTGAACAGACATTTCTGACATGTACTTTCAGTGACATACCAATGTGCCAGGGCCTGCTGCTGACAGCTGCCACAGTGTGGGGACTCACTAATGACAGCAACAGGGAAAAAGATGTGAAACACTTGTGACATGTTTGAGTGCTGAAGATGCTGAATAAGAATACTGTAGGCTAAAGTGAGGTGGCTCAGGTGGGAAATAACTATATCAAGATGGATAATTAAAAATAAGGTAGTTCAATGTGTCAGTTTATTAGTGTGCTTTAAGTAAAAGCACCTTATACACAAATGTTTATATAATATAAAGAACATTACATTTAGTTGTTATAAGAATATATAAATAATTGGTTATGGAAGGTCTATGCCATTTCTAGTTTATTTTCAGATATTAGACACAACTCAAGTCAAAACAGAGGAGGCTGTGGTGTTCACAGATTATTCTATAACATTGTTCATGATGATTTTGTTACATTGTGGTTGCACTTTGGGGGCCCTTATTTTTAGTGTAGTCTATCTAACCTGTTTGTTTTTAATTATACACAAGAACAAATACCGTACACTTTTGAATTACTTTTTTAGTGTTAATAATATTTAACATCTAAGCGCTTCTCCCGACAAAATATAGGTATGGTGTTCGCCAGATGTTGCTGTGATGATCTGCTCGTCTTGACAGCCTCTGCGCCCTCTGAAGTTTGTCCCTCCCCGGCTACAGTTTAAATCCGTACGTGGCAGTCACAGAGCGGTACACCGCAGCCGAAGCTGGAGCGGCTCCTCTCCTGCAACAACTCACTCAAACAACCAGACATCCTGCACCCCTGCGGGATATACTGTGTCAGGGATACATTTTATATCGCCAGACTTGCTGTAACGGTCGCTTCATAACATTTGAAACATGTTTACCGTGTCGGAGCTGGTTGTCTTGCTGGCCGTCCTGTCTGCCACCGCGTCCGGCTACTTCGTTAGCATAGACGCCCATGCCGAGGAGTGCTTCTACGAGCGGGTCAACTCCGGCACCAAGATGGGCCTCATGTTTGAGGTTGCCGAAGGAGGGTTCCTGGACATCGATGTTGAGGTGAGATATGTCACTGAGATGATAAACCAAGCATCTAACATGGTGAAATACATGTATTTTGACTTAACTTGTTTGGTGCTACACAAGGCCTGTGCTAACGTTAGCTATTAGCGGTTAGCTACCTGCGTAACGTCAAGTGGAACTAGTCAGGTGCTTCCCGGGCTTATGGCTTTGTATATCACTGTTATTTTAGTTTCTGGACAAAATGTTGCAGGGACATCATTTTGTCTGTTTTGTGCTAAGGAGTGTGTGACACTGACTGATTAATTATGCATAACGATACAGGAAGTGTAGCGTTAGCATATGTCCGGCTAGCTGACTATACAGCCAGTAAGGTGTTTGAACTAATAATACACTGTAAAGTCAAATATCCCTAATCATCTTGTGTTTTTTTATTCTGTGGAAACGCTGCTCTGCTTTTAAAAAGCACAACTGAGTGTTTTGATCCCCCCCCCCCAAGATTTCTGTTGCCATATGTTGCCACCAGTCCCTTCATGTTGTTGATGACCTGCCCTAATGCAGCTCTGTGCTTTACACTTGTCTCCTCTCCAGATAACGGGGCCTGATGGCAAGCAGATTTACAAAGGCGACAGAGAGTCCAGTGGAAAGTATTCAGTGGCAGCACACATGGACGGGACCTACAAGTTCTGTTTCAGCAACAAGATGTCAACCATGACACCCAAGATCGTTATGTTCACCATTGATATTGGCGAGGCACCTAAAGGCCAAGACATGGAGACGGAAGGTACATAAAGGGTGTATATGTGGGTCACTGACAGTCTGTGCAAACGAGATTCAGAAATTCCACTTTCAATGTCTTACAGCCTTTTTCCAAATGGATCATATAGGATCCAGACCTACTTTTCTTTCTGCATTCTGCTTCTATTTACCTTGTTTAATTGCTTCTATCAGTTTCCTTCTTTCTAACTTTACCTTGGGCACTCTTTTCCTCTTTGTAGGTGGTGACAGCTGGGATGGTAGGGCACAGGGCAGGCTCTGACTTTTGAGTTTGTGATGCACTGCAGAGTTTTCTCTAACCAGTGTTGTTTCCATAGAGAAAAAAAAACTAATATTGTGCAGTACTAGTATACGTAGTCAAAACGCCGTGATGTTTGTGAATGGTTTGACAGTTTGCACAGTGAGAAAATGTATGACCTGTAAATGTGTCTGGTGATTGGACAGCATCACCTGCCACATACTGTATGTCACAAGTGTTCAGCATGTATTGTGTACCCTATGCATGTTTTTCTTTGCACAAATATTGTTTTGTGACTTATTACTGATGGATTAACTTTTACCTGTTTCAGCCCACCAAAACAAGCTGGAGGAGATGATCAATGAGCTGGCGGTTGCTATGACAGCCGTAAAGCATGAGCAGGAGTACATGGAGGTCCGTGAGAGGATACACAGAGCAAGTAGGTCCCGCTCCTGTCAGAGCATATATGCAAAGCCAATTTACCATGTTTATTGAAGTGTTTAACTTCACAAACCCTCTTTTCCTCTCCCTCTAGTCAACGACAACACAAACAGCAGAGTGGTGCTGTGGTCGTTCTTCGAGGCTCTGGTTCTGGTGGCGATGACACTTGGACAGATTTATTACCTGAAGAGATTTTTCGAAGTACGGCGAGTGGTGTAGTGCGATTAAGCGATCCCTCCGTGTCCTCCACTGTTTTTCTTCACCACCAAGACAGTTTATTTACACTCTGGAAATGAGACTGGCAGTTTGAGTAAAGCCCACATGTGATCGGATCTCAGATGTTTTGTTGTCCTTACCTATTTAGTTCCTTCTTTATAAATGTAATAATTGTATGTTTGGAACGAATGGCCAAAAGCTTCTGGGATAGTTATGAGTTTTCATTAGTTTTTTTTTTTTTAAAACAGACTTTTTTTTGTCAAATGGTGTTTGATAATTACACTTAAGTACCAATCACTTGCCAGTACAGTTTTGCCTGTTTGATTGAGTGCAAGGCTCATGATTTTAATTGAAGGCAGTCAGATGAAAAAAGGATTAGAAATGCACATCAGTGGATATGCATGTGTGGAGTCACCATGGGTGAATGTAGCCCTAATGAAGATTGAAACGTGATGCTTTACAAATGATAAAAATGGCAAACATGAAAACAGATTCTATTAGTTCATTGTCTGAGAGGCAGGGAGCTTTGTTTCCATTGTCCAAGCCAAGTCAGACCCTGTGCTGTACATCGTGTTAATGCTCTCAAACAACAACTTGCACTCCTGATGAATACGTCTAAATAATCTGAAGGATTTACATAGCAGCTGGTCTTTAAGGGAAGCTGTACAGCCTCTAGCTCTGTTGATTCATAGCGATCCATGCCACAGGGGGCTTCAGTGGTCATCTTCTGCAGGGAATCTGCTTGACTCACTATGTGGTTAAAAAAAAAATGGCGGAGAGTTTACGTGTTGACTCAATTTTTAAACACTTAAACTTTAAAACTTTGACTTTGAGAAGAGCTGAGATAGGTTTAATTTGAACTGAACTACTTGGGGTGTAACTCCAAAATGTAGGGGGATACTGAAATACATGTTACATGTCAACTGAGGCTGGCTGGGTGGGGGTTCTGACACTTAATGACTGCTGTGTGCTTTAGTTGCTTCTTCTATAGTTAGTTTGTTGGGGTTGGGGATTTTAAATTATACGATTGTATACAATTTTGAATTGTTTGCTGTTTTTCCTGGAGCGTATCCAGTGACATGTGACTGTTGGGATGACGCCTTTCAAACGACTTCCACATACATAGTTAAAAAGTTCAATCCAAGGCAGCAGCTTCACATCTGGCACACGGCTGCAGCATCGAAGGTGTCGCATGTCACTGAATATGCTCCGATTTTGTATTAAAAACAATCTTTGGTGAGATCAGGCAGGTGAACTGCTCTGTACACAGTCTCCTTTTTGTCATTTCAATAAAATCTGATAAATGGATCTGTACAAATGTAGATTGGTTGTCTGTGGAAAATGCCCCAGGTTTCATAATAAAGCCAATATTCTGTACAAGTACTCGGACGTCTTTGTGAACAAGTGCTAACAGTATTTTATGGAGAAGGTTTGACCACAAATCGTTTAATCCAGTAGAGTAATAATCAACGAGTGTAAATATTAGTAATTGCTCCATTGTATTGCAGTCATAGCTGCAGCTGAGGCGTCGTTAATGTGAGTAGTTTCACCTGCTCTGACAGGTGCTGTGACAAAGGCACAAACTGAGTGACACTGCAGCGACATACACGCTTCTCTTCTCCCTGTAAAACTGGAAATTCATTCTAAACTGATACAATACAATCTTGATTTTTTTTTTGTCTCATCTTAAATTTATGTGGTAAAATTTAAACTTGATTTAATGAACATTTATTCCTGCTTTTAGAAGAAGTTAAGAGGGAAAAAATTTATGCTTTTCACATAATGACCGATGATCAGTGGCACCAGCTCAGTCTGACCTGTTGTCAAAAGCCCAACTCTGCAAAAAAACAAACTCAACTGTTACTCACCACGGCTCAGTCACTATCATGTGAATCCCTCTTAATTACTCAAGAAACCCTGCACCCACTGGTCAGCACACATCTTGAGAAAGTGACTCCAGGACAGAGGAGGGTGGTTCCAGTTGGAGGTCTAGACTCCATAACTCAGAGTGTTTTGGCAGAGACATGTAAGCAAATAGTTCAGTCTTGTTTCTACAAGTGTCCTCAACGCTGTAATGCCTGTGACCTATCAGTGCTTCACTGGCCACCAGATTTATTTATTTTACCAGATTCACTGAGGGTTTACAGCTTCTCTGACAGCCGCACCCAGCTGCTTACTAAACAGGTTTCTCCTATCAGTGGCCATCAAACCGTCGTTTCTCCCCCACAGCAGCAAGATTATTTTGTAAGTAGCACCAGCTGCCAGAAAACTGAATAAACGCTTTGATGTGTGAGAGAGCCAGAGCAAACAACAAGGTTTTACCGAGACGACTTTAATGGAAGTCCTGCACCAAGTTCGATCCGCAGAACCAGAACCACAGAGGACATCTGTTTCCAACCGCTGTGTCACTGCAGACACTGAAGCTGTGACTGTCACTGTCACAAAGGCTCTGCAGAGTTTCAACTGTGTGGATGAGGAACTTTTTTTCACTCCTCCACTACATTTATTTGTCTTCTATAGTCACATTAACATTTTATTAAGAAAATATAATCAATTTATAAAATATAAATTAATCAAAATGAGTTCCACCAGCTATGACATTAAAATGTTGCTTACAAGTTTGATCCTTTATGCTCATCAGAGTTGTCTGTGGTGGAAGAAGAACTCAGATATTTTACTTAATTAGCAATACCACAGTGTAGAAATACTCTGAGTCCTGTGTTCAAGATGTTACTCAAGTAAAAGTACAAAAGTACCAGCATGAAAAGATACACAAAGTACCAAAAGTAAAAGTACTCATTATGCAGAATGGGCTATAATTATTTATGCGCTGTAATAAAACATCATGATATATACTGTCGATTATATTTTGTCTTATAACTAAAGTTATCAGATAAATGTATTGGAGTAAAAAGGTCATTATCTTCCAATATAGAAGAATAAAGCAGCAGGAAATGGAAATTATGACGTAAAGTACAAGTATCTCAAATTTAACATATCAAAATATATTGTAAAATATAATATGTTATGTAGGTCCTTTACTCTTACACGATAAAAGATTAAAATAAATAAAATAAATAAAAATAGACGGAACGCGGAACGATACTCGCGACAGCGCTTCAGTTCCCACCCGGCTTGTAAACATCGGCGCGCCCGGAATAAGCAGCGGAGCAGCGTGGAGCTCGATCCCAGCAGCGGAACCACAGCTTCATCCAGAACCAGTGGTTTATACTGGTCTGTGTCCAGTATGGATAACACGACGGACGGGACGTGGGACAGTTTACCTGTTCAACTCCACGAGAGCATTTTACAGACGCTCGAGGAGCTGAAATTCACTCACATGACACCTGTACAGGTAACACCTCCACTGCAAACCTGTGTCTCTCACCAGCTCTTCAACACATGCTTTATTGATCATTATAAAATCATTATTAATACTATTATTGTTTCCCTGTAGTCCGCTTGTATCCCGCTGTTCATGAGCAACAAAGACGTGGCTGCAGAGGCGGTAAGTTTGTAGTTTAACCAGGTAACAAACTTTACCTGTAACACGTTAACGACAAATCTGAGGTACCTGTGCTTTACCTGAGTGTTTCCACCTTAAATCACTTTCTACTACATGTGTCTGATAACTGTAGTTTCTTCACAGATTCAGATCAATAAGACAAATTATAACCAAGAAACAAATGATCATGTGTTATTACAGGTTAAGACGAGATTTTGTCCCGCTACCCAGCAGCGTATGAAGTCATTAATTAGTCCCTCCATCACCAGCTGCAACATTAACACTAATAACAAGTTGATTAATCGAATATGAAAATGAAAATTAAATTTCAACTATTTCTTTAATAGAATAATGATTTTTTTTTTCTCAGATATGAGAGTTTTAGTCTCTTTGGGTTTTCGACTGTTGGTCAAACAAGACGTAGTTAATAAATAATGAATATAATTAAGTAATAAGTAATTATAATCCAATAATATAATATACATTATTCTGAAATGGGCCACTCTGCTTCATGAGTACTTTTACTTTTGATTCTAACTTACTTAATTTCACTGAAGTAAAACTGACCATTAAACCTGCAAGTGATTGAAAATCCAAAGGTTTGATGCCTTGAATAAAAACTTGAAACGGTAGAAGCAGAAGAGGATTTACTTTGTCTCCTACATTTACAGTACTAGAGCACATTCAGTAAATAAAAGGGAAAGTTTGCAAAAGTCGCTCTGACCATTCAGGACCACTGCAGACGGCTGAATCAGTTGTTTGATTTGTGCGGCTCACGACACGTCGTCTCCCTGTAGGTGACTGGGAGCGGGAAGACGCTCGCCTTCGTCATTCCTGTCATAGAACTGCTCCTGAAGAGAGAGGAGAAGCTGAAGAAGATGCAGGTAATGACGACACCGCGGGCAAGATGGCTGTTTTGTATTTATCTGCTTTCACAGGTGGAGGAGGACGGGGGGCGGGCGGTGAGGACTCTCAGAGGAGATGTTGAAATGTAAATCGTGTTTTCCGCAGGTCGGCGCCCTGGTGATCACTCCCACCAGAGAACTGGCCCTGCAGATCAGTGAAGTGATGGGACAGTTTCTCCACAAGTTTCCACAGTTTAGGTAAGTATTAAATCATGAATGACGGTGTGAAATGAGACTGAAGTAATTAAAGCTCAAACGATTAATCGATTATTATTATAATCCACCAACAGAAAAATAATCAGCAACTGTTTTGATCATCAATTAATCATTGAAGTCAGCGGTTCAGGGTATTTTTCACTGTATAATCTGACATTTATAAACCAAAGAATGAATCAAGACAATAATAAGACTCATTGATTGTGAAAATACTCGTTAGTTGTCGCCTTAGAGCGATTAAAGCATCAAGATCCACTTACCAGCTTCTTCTGCAGCTTCTAACCACCTCAGTTATTTCAGTCACTGATGAAGACAGTGAGATGCAGCTGATAGCTCCAGAAAAGTTATTATTATAAAGTTATTATTTTCTGTCTTTGACTATAATATTACCTTAAATCTTAAAGCACCAGATGAAGAGTAAATGTTAGAGAACTTTCTGTTTGTGCTGAGAGACCTGCGCCTTCATCCCAGTCGCTCAAATGTTTCACGTGTGTTTGTTTCTCAGGCAGATTTTACTGATTGGTGGCACTAACCCGATAGAGGATGTGGAGAAGTTCAAGGATCAAGGGTATGTGATGCATGAAGAGGCAACAGAAGCCCCGAGCTGGACTGAAATCAGGGATGTTTAAACATTAAACCACCAGAACGCTGCAGTCTGATGATTTAACAAGACGCACTTGGATTGTTTAATGTTCCTCCCATGTTTTATCCTTCAGTTATCTTGTTCACAACCGTGTGTCGACAGAGACAGAGACACCAACGTGACGACGCTTGTGTTTCAGGGCAAACATCGTGATAGCGACTCCCGGCCGCCTGGAGGACATGTTCAGGAGGAAGTCAGACGGTCTGGACTTGGCCAGTTCAGTCAAGAGCCTGGATGTGCTGGTTCTGGACGAGGCCGACAGACTGCTGGACATGGGCTTCGAGGCCAGGTACGGAGGGAGAGTGGATGTTTTTTAGTTGTTGTGGAGGAAGAACTGGGCTCTCTCTGCACAGTCCTGCAACATGTCGTCAAACACGTGAACGACCAGCGCTGCACAGAAGTTTTATCCATCAATTCACTTCTTACAATGTGCAGCAGAACATAAATCAGACAGTGGTGATCTGCTGCAGGACTCCTTGTTCTTCTGGTCTCTGAAGTCACTTCTTCAGGACTGTGTGTTTAGACTCGTTGTTCTGCTGCAGGATGAATCTGGGACCAATCAGACGCCTCCTTGGTGTCGTAAGCTAAACATCTAAAGTGCCTTAAACCTTTGCACAGTGCTGTGTATTTATTTGTAGGTATTGTAGATCTAACACTGTGTGTGTGTGTGTGTGTGTCCAGTCTGAACACCATCCTGAGCTACCTGCCCAAACAGAGGCGCACCGGCTTGTTCTCAGCCACTCAGACACAGGAGCTGGAGAAGCTGGTGAGGGCCGGCCTCAGGAACCCAGTCCGCATCACCGTCAAGGAGAAAGGCGTGGCCGCCACCGCCGCCGCCCAGAAAACCCCCGCCAGACTCTCCAACTACTACACTGTGAGTAACACACACACACACACACACACACACACACACACACACAGACGCCTGTTTCACATCAGTCAACTCAAAGTTCAAACAGTAACGACACAAAAATTCCCACGTGACGTCTTTCACTTCAGATCTGCAGATCTGAGCACAAGTTCAACAACCTGGTGGCGTTTCTAAGGCAACACAAGCACGAGAAGAATCTGGTCTTCTTCAGGTACGTTCAGCTGCGCATTAATTCATCCTGTGTGAACTCAGACTCCTGGAGAGATCTGTAAGTGCAGTTCAGGTGTGTATGAACTTGTCTCCGTGTCGTCGTCAGCACGTGTGCGTGTGTGGAATACTACGGTCGAGCTCTGGAGACGCTGGTGAAGAAGGTCAGCGTCTGCTGCATCCACGGCAAGATGAAAAACAAACGCAACAAGATCTTCGCCGACTTTCGGAGCCTGAAGAGGTGAAGACGAGGTTTCGTGATGAGTTCGTTCTGGTCGGTCTGTGATTTGGCTTCTATCATTTATTTGTCCTTGTGCTTGTGTTGCAGTGGGATCCTGGTGTGTACGGACGTCATGGCCAGAGGCATCGATATCCCCGATGTTAACTGGGTGCTGCAGTACGACCCGCCCAGCAGCGCCAGGTGAGGTGACAGGGCTGCACCTGAAAGGCTGAAGTAGAATCACTGTGTTGTTTATAATGAAAGGTTTATTTTCTATAATCTAATCTCATGAAAGACCAAAACCAACATCTGCTGAGCTTTAATTTTGAAAGCGTCTGATAAAAGAAGCTTCCTGCTTTAATGTTTATTCTGTCTGCGTCTCAGTGCGTTTGTACATCGCTGCGGGCGAACAGCACGCATCGGTAATCAGGGCAACGCCCTCGTCTTCCTGCTGCCGATGGAGGAGACCTACGTCAACTTCTTGTCCATCAACCAGAAAGTGAGTTTTCACTTTTCATTTCTGCTCTTCTTGTTCTGAAGTTTCTCCACGCCTGATGAAAATGCTGTGACTTGATTTGTGATGACGTGTCCTCTGTCGTGTCTGCAGTGCCCGCTCCAGAAGATGCCCCCCGTGTCTGATGTTGTGGACGTGCTGCCCAAAGTGAAGGCCATGTCTCTGGCAGACCGAGCCATGTTTGACCGAGGCATGAGGGCCTTCGTCTCATACGTCCAGGCCTACGCCAAACACGAATGCAGCCTCATCTTCAGGATCAAAGGTGAGAAGAAAAAAAAAAGCCGCTTGACATCTCAAGATTCAGTTCGTTATCAATCCAAATAAAACATCGTGTGTTTCTCCCTTTGTGTAGATCTGGACTTTGCCTCCTTGGCCCGCGGCTTCGCCCTCCTCCGCCTGCCGAAGATGCCCGAACTGAGAGGAAAAACGTTCCCCGACTTCGCCGAGACGACAGTGGACACAGAGACCATCCGCTACAAGGACAAGAACAGGCAGAAACAGAGACAGAAGATGCTGAAAGAGAGAGAAACGAATCCCCTCCCCAGAAGGACTTTCACCAAGAACAAGTCCTGGTCCAAACAGAAGGCCAAGAAGGATCGCAGGAAAAAGGTTTCAGCCAAGAGGAAGCACGATGAGGTATTTCCATTCACTGATCGTTGAACGTATTGATAAAAACATTAGGATTAGATTCATCTGTGTCTCTCTGTTTGTCTTGTCTGTGTCTGCAGGACTCTGACGTGGACAATGAAGACATGAAGGAGCTTTTAAACGACACTCGTCTCCTCAAGAAACTAAAGAAAGGCCAAATCAGCGAGGAGGCCTTTGAGAAACAACTAACAACTGGACCGAAGTCAAAACACAAAACGGAGGAACTCGACGACGCCTCAGAGCAACAGGATGTTTCATAAAACTGCCGGAGTCAAATTCTTCCATGTAAAAAAACAAAAACGGACTTAAAATAAATCCCAAGCCACGCCCACTGACATCTGTTTAGCTTTTCATAAGATTTTTATTTGAGAATTGTGAGGCACGGAGTTATAAATAAAGCTTGATGAGTTCGTCGCTGACGGCGGACGGGGTGAGGACTCCCAGGTCAGTGAAGAGGAGGGTGATGAGGGAGGGAGGTGTGTAATCAATCATCGGATGCTCCTCTGACAGGTTCTGGACTGTCTTCAGGGTGTCTGCTTTGTACTGTGGACGAAAGGACAAGACATTACAGTTGTGTAATAAAATATTAGTACAATACCATCAGTGTTTCTTTTCTATTCGTTAACGTTGTTAAATAAAAAGTAACATTTAAAAAAAAACAATGTTTAACGTCTTTGTGCAGGAGTTGGATTTACATTTTTTCACTTCTAAAGAATTCCCAAACTGTTGCCTACGACTGTGAACACAAAGTAAGACTAGACATGAAACTCTGTCGTCATACATGACGCGATACCTTGAATTTATCCGGCACGTCCTGCTGGTTGAGCGGATAGAGACGGACGAACTTGAAACTCTCCGCCACGACGTAGAAGGGCTTGTTGTGAGCTTTCGAACAAACCGCCATCTGATAAGTGCCGATCTGCGAAAGGACGAAGGTGAAACATTTAGGCCTGTGTTTCTCATTACATCAACACCTCGTTTATCTGATGCATGTGGCCTGTATCACAGAGAACAGTTGGGTTAGTGGCTACCTGGCGTCATAAAAAAAGCTGGAGTAGCTCACCATGCTAACACCAGGGAAGCTGGTTAACCCAGACACCCAGACTGAGCTGAACACTCTCTGTGATACAGGGCTCTGACTATTTCCTGGAACACACCTTGTTGATGATTCCTCCGCTCTCCACGACTCCCTCTGCACCAATAATAACTAGATCTACCTTCTCCAAGACATACCTGGGAAAAAAATGAGAGAAATACACTAAATAAACTCCGCTCAGAGTTCAAGCTGACGATGTGTGACACTGATGATAAATGTATTTACCCCACAGCTGCATCCAGGACCACCGTTACTGGAACATTGAGTTTTCTCAGGGCTTCGGCCATTTGTCGCCTGAACAAAGACATTTATATAAAACACTGATTCAATGAGTGTGTGTGTGTGTGTGTGTGTGGGTCTCGTCAGAATAAAACTGGGACGCATTTTACTGACACTATTCACTCACCCAGCTGAGTCAGGCTGCGATTCAGTCACATAGACAGAGAAGCGTTTCTTCTCCGCTGCAGCTTTTTCCAGCACTCTGAGCACGACTCTGGAGTAGGAGTGAGTCAGGATTTTCTGCAAGAGAAACGTTTGGATGACAAATGAGAATAAATGAGTCCCTGTCTGAATACTGTGAACAAACTGTGTACAAACTGTACTTAAATCCTAGAATCACTGGCCAACTCACAACGTGTCTCTCTGGACGATAATAACAGTCACAGCAGTCAGGATTTAGACCTGCTCATAGTGCAATAACTGCTGTTGTGGATGACACTGTTAACCTGCTTAAAGAAAATCAACATTGTGCTGTGCTCTTTGTTTATATGTCCCAGGAGTTTGATGACAAGATTTTGTTCAATAAATTGATTTCCATTGGTTTTAATGATTCTGTTTCTGGCTGGTTGTCAGAGTTCAGACTGTTGTGGTTTTAAATCTTCAAATGGTTGATAAGGTGTCCCACAAGGATCAATATTAGGTCCCTTACCATTTACTCTAGACATTAATGATATGTATTTTCCACAAAAAAACTAAATGTATGTATTTTAAAAGAGCACAGAGCTCTGAATCTGATCTATACTCATAATAGAGATACAGTCCACACAGTACAGCATAACAAATTCTTAGGAATTTGGATAAACATCAAATAGTTGTACAAAAAAGAGCAAACTAACATTTTATTGTCCACGTACGTATGTAAAACAAATACTGTACTTACGGTGCCATCTTTGATGAAGGTGTGACAGAGTTTAGCAACTTTGGTCCTGGACATTGAGATCTTCTCTAGAAACAGTTCTCCTCTCTCCTCCATCACCTTCTTACAGCGCGACAGATCCTGAAATACACAGAGCAACAAAAGTTAGTGCTCGCCTTGTAATAACATATTTTTTGTGACACTCTTTTTGATGAAGTTAATGTAGCTGTTTGCTCTCATCTAGGAGCCAGAAATTCATAGTATAATAAAATGAAAAAGAAAAAAAAAAGAAAAGCAGCAATGAATTCCACCGGCTGTGGAAGTCGGTCATTCAAACAAACAAGTCCCAAACACACTTCTCTTTAAGCCAGTTCAAAAATTCCACCAACAAAACTCTGTGCAATTTTTTCACCTTTGACCTTTGACCACCAAAATCTAATCAGTCCATCCTTGAGTCCAAGTGAATGTTTGTGCCAAATTTGAAGAAATTCTGTCGAGGCATTTCTGAGATATAGTGCTAAATACAGTATGTAGGGCTGTTTCAGACGTGATGTGGACCAGCAGTTTGTACCAGGCAGGTAACTCACCTGGTGCTCCAGTGATGTGAGGCTGATGAAACGCAGGAAGAGCTCTCCTCCTGAGGACACGGCCACAGAGGAGTCCACTCCTGTCAGGCAGTTTGTGGCCCACTTCAGGCTCTCCCTCAGACCCAGGATAGTTTCACCTGAGGGGGCAGGAAGAGTTTGTTGAACAGGGCTGACACCAGGACGCACCTGGTCTGTAAAAGCTACAGGAGCTACATGATTCACAGGTGTTGGAATGACGGTGCTGGGAGTGAACTCACCTTTGTCTCTCTTGAGGAATTCAAGCAGAGTGCGGATAGCGGCCACAGCAGAGGCTATGTCCGGATCTTTCCTCATCTGAGCCCTGAAATACTCCACCAGCTCTGACCCGGGACAGAGCGAGACACAGTGAGTGGACCAACACAAAAATCTGAACTCCAATATCCTGTTCTGATACATCCATTGTTCACACCTATATAAGTGAACACATCTAACCCCATACACCATCAAACTCTGGTCCCTACACTGGTGAAGTATTACTGTGTTACTGGATTTCACAAACATCCAAATACATTTTATTTGCAGAATTAAGATGAATAAGGGTCTAATAAGTGCAGCCCAGTCTGATGGAACATAAATATAATACAATTAAAGTTTAGAAACTTACATAGTAATAAACCTGTTTTGACACAGAAAGCAGCGTTCAGTAATAATAACCCAGTCTTACTTGTGTAACTGCTAAAGATTTATTAACATCAGTAAACTGATAAATTTTCTGAAACTGAAGGAAATTCTGTTTCATTAAAAAATGTAATTATTATATTAATAGCTCACTGTTCAGAGTATAGCACACTTTCCTCTGACTGCCATCTTGAAATGACATCATTCCTTTAAAGGCTGTAATATTGTGTTAAATACATAAAATAATATGTTAACATATTCATCAATCCAACAGAAATGGTTTACTCATAATGTTGATGATGTAAAACATTTAAATTGCAGATAAAATTCAAACTTGTAACTCTGTTTAAGGACCCCTCCCATGTGTTTCACTGTCCCCCCTCACTGCCTCACACCTGGATAGGTTTAATATCTGCGCTTAAACACATATTATGACACTAAATGAGAAGCTTGAAATAATTTACCTTCTTCATTCATCGTGAAACGAGCCGGAGAGGCTAACAGGTGTAGTTTCTACGGTGAAGACAAACCACGGTGGATCACAGTCTTTACTGAGTCCACAGTTTTATAACGCTCCTTGTCACAAGTTAAATTATTCACGAGACTCAAGACAAACCTTTAAACAAACTATTTATGTCACAGTTTTCAAACTACCGCAAAAAAAAACACGTTAAATTCTGTCTGGACAGTGTTATGTTGTTGTCAGTGACTGCGGAGCTGCACACCGTTAGCTTCTGAAGGGGTGCGTGTTGACGTGTCGCGGAGAGATGACGTAGTCACTTCACGTGCGGTCGGAGAAGTCGAATTCAGTTTGGTTTTGAGGGATTTGAATAAAAGATTCAGGCTTAAAAAACTAGAGTGTGGTTGTAGTTTATACAACGAATGACTATTTCATTTGTTTTTTTCTTTATTTATTATAAATGATAATTCAGAACAGCACAGAAGAATTTCCTAAAGCTTATTTAAATTTGAAAAAACGCTCACAGTGACGAAGACCTTCGAAAATTACCATGCTGCCCTCTGGTGGCGTAATTTTTAAATTACGCCACCAGAGGGCAGCATGGTAATTTTGAGTTTCTCTTAACTTTACTCATCAATCATTTAGTTTTTCCCAGTTGTATAGTAGGTAGACTGCAACAATAAGAAACATTAGATTTTCAGTGTGATAAGATTACATAGAATTTCAGTGTGTAAACTTTTGGCTGTGGTTGGCACTAAAGAATAGTTTGACAAAATATTAGGAGACCATATGCTATTCATAGCAAATCTTAACTGAAGTTCGAGCATTAGCTCTCCGGATAGAGATCTTGTCTTGGACCAAAGTTTTGATCAGTTTTTGATGGTCACAAAATAAAAAGGAAGACCATCCTTAATCCAACAGTTTCAAATTGTTGCAGAAAAGCCTTGAAAAGCCATAAAGGTGAAGGTGAAGGTTACAATGATCATTTGGGAGGCTGCAGTGTGTGTGTGTGTGTGTGTGTGTGTTGTTTGGCCTAAACCTCATTGATTTGAACAGGGTGGGCAAAATAAAAGTCAACTTAACACAGTGCAGTTTAACAAAACCCTCCTTCAAAGAGCTGAATCAATAGTCTTTAATACAGGTTCACAATGTATTACAATATAAAGAAAGTGTAGACATCACAAATTAGCAGCTGCATCTATCTTTTTCTTTCTGTTTCTAATTTATTTATGGCTAATGATTTATATATGTTGTATATTTTTATTTGATATGCTATCTATCTATCTTTCTATCTATCTGGATCTATGTGGATCCAGGTTTTATGGGGTAAACCTGGCTCTTCCCGGTATATCCGGGTGTAGTTGCCCACTTCAGTCCGGCTCCGGTACTTAGTTACTTGCCCTGTATCCAGGCTGTTTGCTGGCTCTTTGTTCTCCTACTCACACAGCAGGAGACAGATCTGTCTTCATAGTGCAGCTGCAGCCGTGCTCCCCCCCTCCCTCCCTCCCTCTGTGCTCTATCGGCCTGCGCATGCGCAGTGGCTCCTCTGTGCGCTCTACTGTTTGCATTGTGTCTGAACTGCCGGCGAGCTTAAAAATATTATAACCACCGCGGCAATGTCGGGCAGGTCGGTCCGAGCTGAGACCCGGAGCAGGGCGAAGGATGACATCAAGCGGGTTATGGCCGCTATTGAGAAAGTACGAAAATGGTAAGAGGACGAAGAGAAAGAAGCAGGCTCGGTTATCTAACACGAGAAAGGCTTGCTTGTTGGGGGAGGAGAGGGAAGGAGCGAGACGGAGTGAGGGATGAAATTGAAAGAAATTAAAGGACGGTTTTTGAACGGGATTCTCGGCAGATGTACTTGCAGCTCAGGTGCACCGGGGCGCACTAGTGCGGTGCACCACCCCGACCGTCGTTCGGCGGCGGAATCAGACATGTACCCGGTGTCTCTCTCTCTCTCTCCTTTTTTTTTTTTTTTTTTTTTTTTTTTTTTTTTTTTTGTCTCGCTGATTTTAACGGGAAGGGTTGAACCCAGAAGCCATTTCGATGCAGTCACATGAAGCCATTGCTGCCCGCTGTGGAGCTCGCAGCGCGGGCGGCGGCGGCGGTTTTTAGGACCGAAACGTCCAATAACTCTCGACTTGGAAACAATTTGACGACGGCGCTCCGGAGTCGGAGCAGTTTAGTCCGTCTGGAGTTTTAAATTAAGCGCTTTGAGTCGCCTTTAGGTCTGATAGAGAATAAGGCTCGGTGGGGGTGGGGAGAGGGAAGTAGGCTACTGTAGTGCATGGCTGAACACGTAGTGACTCAGTCTTAACGTTTAACACAAGAAAAAACACATTTTTATTCACATTTAGCAGCTCAAACACACATGGAGTCAATCTGAGAATATCTTGTTTTTGGATTTTTGCTGTTTAACCCCGAATTTAGCTGATGATTTTTTTTTTTTTTATCAGGTGGTTTAATCAAACGTCCCCAGGTCAAAGTCAGAAGTTTTTCTAACGAAAAAGTTGATAAAATAAAACAAATGATCAAACTGAAATATCATTCAGAGTAAATATGGAGCACGTGACATTTAACATTAATGTTTTGATGATTTATGTTTTCTGACCTTTTCTACTTTATACTTACGACTTTGTAGTAAGAATTTGTTTTCTGTTGCTGTAAACTAACATTATTTGTTTAAAAGTTACTTTACAGTGACTTCAAGATAGTTGATTAATCGATTAGTCAAACCACAGTTATTGTACTTCTTGATAAATTATTTAGGTCATTTATTTTGAAGCAGATATGTCAAATTCACAGGTACAAGTTTTTCTTTGTTTTCTACATTAGTAAACTGAATATCATTTGATCAATCAGGACAATAATCTACAGATTAATGAAAATGTTGATTTTATGTTACTATAGTGTTTTTTAAAATCATCATTTTGGAGCATAAATGATTAGTCAGCTCAGTCAGATGATTAAGTTGTCTTTTTTCTTTTTAATTTTTTAAGCAATAATGTCTAAAGTCATTATAATCAGTTTCTCAAAGTGAATATTGATTATTTTCTTAGTTTTCTGTGGGTTTTGGGCTGTTGGTCACACATAACAAGTTATTTGAATATGTCAACTTCGGCTTTGTGAAATGGAAAATTGAGATTTTTCACTATTTTCTGAGCAAATGATTCAGGGCTGCGACTAAGGATTATTTTTATTACAGGTTATCGCACCAATTATTCTCTCCAGTGCTCTTATTGATGTAGAAAATGTCAGAAAATAGAAGAAAATGTCTGTCACAATTTTCTAAAGCCCACGGTGATGTCTTTAAAACGGCTTTTATCTTATTGTATTTAGAGTCTGTGGGATTCGTTAGTGATTTTAGAGCGTATTTATTATAACATGACATTTTCCATTCATGAACAGGTTTAAGTCATTTAACATTCTTAGTTTTCAGCTTCCCAAATGCTGTTTTATATCATTGTTAACTGAATATTTTTGCGTTTTGGGCAGATAAAACAAATAATTAGACAATGTAATAACTGGCACCGGGAAATTAATGACAGTTTTAGACAAACAGGCTCATAGATTATTAGAGAAGAAGAAATTGTAGAGAGATTAACTTGTAATGAAAATAATCTACAATTGCAACACAAAACTAACCTCGCTGTGCTTTTAAATCATATCACTATAACATCTCATCAGGAACCTTTTGTTGTTTTGTAATATTTATACGGTGTTTTATAGAATGACTGCAGTGCTTTTTGCTTTGCGTTATTTCACAGCATGTTGATTCAGAAGTGCCGGGGTGGTAACGTGTCGCTCCCCAGAGGTTTTGAGTCATCTCGTGTTTTGTTTTTGTTTTGTTTTTTTTTAACAGGGAGAAGAAATGGGTGACTGTTGGAGACACGTCCCTTCGCATCTACAAGTGGGTGCCAGTGACGGAGCCCAAGTCAGATGATGTGAGTTCAGCCTCTTCAGCGACATTAACAGACGCACTATCAGCCACATGTTTTACATTTACATTCAGGCAGATGCTTTTATCCAGAGTGAGTGCTGCTGCCCCTGCTCTGACAGGAGCTCGTTCCACCATCGAGGAACATCAGTTAATTAATAAATCTTTTCAGAATCAGCTTCTTTTTTTTTTATATGTTTATACGTATAATGAATCTGACTCCCACTTCCTGTAGTTTTTAATGTACTCACACACAGATCCAAGGACAAACGGCTCAGGACGTGACCTGCAGCTAAAACAAAACAACAAAGCTGAAACAATTACCAGAAAAATTCATCTTCAACTACTGATTAATTGTTTAAAACTGAAACGCCAAAATTCTTTTATATCATTGTTAATTAAATGTATTTGATTTCTGGACTGGTGTTCGGACAAAAACAAGCAAGTTTAATTAAAAAAAAAAAAAAGTGGAGTCGTGATGGGAAATTTTTGTTCTTTCTTTTGTTTTCAATAGAGAAACCAATCAATCAGTTTGCTCTACAGTGAAAAACATCTTTCATGTCAGGCCTGAAACTAGGATAAGCAAACATGATGGCTGATGATGGCCATTATCTACAGGCAAGAAGGTGGAAAGATTATATATTAACAACAAAACACAGTGTCCATATACAGGTCAAACTGTGACTGTAAACTGTAACGTGTGGGAGCAACTGGACTGCTGAGATCAATATGTTCCTGAATGGACATACAGTAGCTGGTTTATCTACAGGATATCCATGTATAGATTGCAGTAACATTAAACTGTAATATATAAAAGGAAAATTTTGACCTTTGTTTCAAGGCTTAAATATTTTTTGTAATGCATATTCTTTTTCCTTGCTGCACCATTTTATATTTGTTTGTCTCACTACATGTTAATGGGACTGTAATGGATTTAATTTAGTGTATTTTTCTCTCAATTGTAGAAGAACAAGAATAAAAAGAAGGGCAAAGATGAGAAGTACGGCTCAGAGCTGACGACTCCAGAGAACAGCTCCTCTCCAGGCATGATGGACATGCATGGTAGGTACTGAAGGCTGGGGATATTCTTCTTACTGTCAGTCAATACCATGAAGGGACTTGTTCAAGAATGAGTCACAAAAGTGTTGTTTCATTTTTAAAAAGGCTCGGTCACCTGAAACATCTGGGCACTGCAGTTACGCTACCAAAACAGGAAACAGTGTGTTTGTTAGGGACTATTTTCAGCGGTGGATTAATCCACTTTTGATGCTCTAGTGAGTATTTGAAGTAATGAAGCAGCAAACACTGATGTGTTTTTGAATAGTTTCTGAACAACAGTGAAGCCCTGTGGCTCAGAGGAATAACACCAGGCTTAGATCAATTTGTAAATGTTGCTGGTTTAAGTCTTTTCATGGGATTTACTGACAATAAGAAAAATATGGAATAACTTGTTCAGCTAGGATGAAAAGGGACGCCTTTAATTCAAACATCTAAAAGAAGCATCTTTATTGCTTGTGTTTGAGTAATTGAGGGAGATTCTGCATCTTCTGTGAAAGATATGAATGTCAAACTAATTCTAATGATGAAATACAGAAGCATAATAAAAATGTGTTTGGTGTCTACGATGAAAGTTGGATAATCTCAAACTAAAATGAATCGATCTGTCTCTGCCAGACGACAACAGCAACCAGAGCTCGATCGCTGACTCATCCCCAGTGAAACAGGAAAACAGTTGTAGCACCAGCCCCGCCCCCGAGCCCACCGCCTTGTCTCACCGTGAGAACAGCGAGGCCAAGACTGACCAGAGCCCGGACAGCAAGAGGGGTCAGACTCACACACACACACACACACACACACAGATCGCATCACTGACCTCCAGTCAACAGCTCGCAGGTGGTGGTGATGCTGAACGGCGAATGACGAGCCACATCCTGTTTTTTTGTTTTTTTTTTCGTTTTTCTCCCCTAATCTCGTCTCTGTCTCGCAACATCAGGACGAGCGGCGTCACGCTGAGAGATAATTAGAGTGGCGGCTTCCCTGTCATTAAATACATAAAGTGAAAATACATGAAGGGACACAGACACACTGCAGCTGCGGCTCCCCCAGAGATTTCAACCGTCAACCTTCTTCTAGGTTCCTCCGTCTCCGCCTTACTCTCACCCTCTAGCTTGACGGCAGTTTTACACCTCGACCTCGCGTCTGAATAAACCTCCAGGTCACTTCATCTCGCCCGTCATATTCCTGCAACACAAGTCACACGTCTGAACTGAAAGTCACCTGATGACGGTAAAAGGCTGCAGCAGCTCAATGAACGGAGAAAGTAAATAACAACTTTTGCCTATGGGGGGGGGGGTCGCTAAATTTGAGAATAAAGTCGAAATATAATGAGATTAAAGTTGTAATTTTAGGTTGCGTGTTGATTTAGAGGGGAAACATCAGAAGCTTTTACATCTACTTTAGGTTTCACTAATGAGGAGAAATTTCATCTTTTGGCTCATCATCATCATCATCATCATCATCATCATCATCAGGACAATGAAAAGACTGAAGAAACTGAGTTTATTCTGTCGTTAGACAAACAGCAGCTGCCACTGACTGTTGATTGTAATATTCATAGAAATTGTTTTGTTCTCTCGAAATTTTACATTTTTACAATATTGTGACTTTATTACGATTCTTCTTTCTAGAAATAATAACTTTTGCCATAAAATTACAACTTTTTCTCTTGAAATATTCTCAAAATAACGACTTTATTCTCGAACATTTCAGAGTTTTTTTCCTCAGTGTGACTCTGATACTCCGTCTCTTTCTAATACTCCACTTTACTTTCTCGCCTGTTGCTGAACCAACACTCACCTCTGGCTGAGAACAGTAGTGTGTCTCAGCTGTGTCAATCCATTCAGACTCTGCAGTTACTCTGCTCAACCACACAGTGTCATTAAAGAGTCAGAGACGGGGTCTGCAGCTGCAGCACATCACCTGTACTGTGCGGCGTGCAGCTCGCTCTCTGTATTTGCTGTGAAATAAAGAACCGTGCTCCTGGTCTGACGTGTGCATGTGTGATCATGTTACAGGTAAGACCATCCCTTCATCAGAGACCTCAGAGAGAGCACAAAGTGCCAAGAGAGACAGCCTGTCCTCAGGGGAGAAGGACTCTTCAGACAGCAAAGCCACTCAGGTACGAACACCTGTGCACATCTGTCTTCAAACTCCAGTCACACCTGATCCGTGTGACCGTGACTGTTATTTATTTATATTTGATTCAATCAGGAAGTCACATTCACGTCAAAATCTCATTTACAAGTGATTCCTGAGAAGATAAAATACAAATAAATAACAATAAGAAACATTATATACTGTATTAAACTGTTAAAGAGTCAAATAAACAACATACAGATTTATTTTGTCAACACTCTCTTCACTGACTCGTGTTGACTTCACTGCTACACCTACAACAGTCAGTGTTGAATGGATATTTGTAGTCACATAGATACAGTAGGACCGTGGATACACCAGGTGACAGTGAACTGGCTTCGCATGGGGAGTTTTGTTCACGAACGTCCGTGTTTTTATTATATAAAGTTGTAGAATTTTAAATGTAGAATTTCCAATTGATGACGTTTTGTATTATTGCTGACGACTGAACATTATCCGTCTGTTCTCGCTGCAGGACTCGGAGGCGGAGGCCCCACCCAGCAAGAAAAGCAAACTGGAGTCCTCATCTCAGGACTTTGAGGAGAGTTAAATGTTTGGGGCTGAGTTCCCCCCCCCCCCCCCGTTCCTCCCTCCTTTAGATAATTTAGTGCTAATGAACACGTTAGCCTCCCTCTCCTCTTCCTCCCCCCCACCTCCTCCTTCTTCACCCAAACTCCTCAATACCAAAGGGAGAATGGACGTCTCTCTTCCTCCCCCTCTCCCTCACCCCCTGACGTCTTACCCCCCCCCCTCCCCTCTAATTTGCCACCTTTGCCCTAACACTCCTCTGCCACAGAGGGAGAATGGATATTACCTCTATTCACTGGTCCCCCTCCGTGCTTCCTTCCAGTTCTCCACACTTTTTCACTAATGCCAAGAGAAGCTCTGAACCCAGGCTGCAATCCCCTCTGTGACCAGGGGCGGCGCTGCCAGCCCAGCCCCGCCCAGCCCAGCCCAGCCCAACCCAACCCAACCCAACCCAACCCAACCCAGCCAGCGCCAGGCCAGACCACAGACCCTGACCTGCATCTGTGACTAAGAGAGTCAACACTGGGGATCTGAGAGTAGGACGAGGTTGATCCCGGACGCTGCTCTGAGACCGCTTTTTAAAACGTTTCACTGCTAATGGTTTAGCTCAGGATAACTCAAGAGGCTAACCTGGTCTCAGATCAGTGGCTGGGCGGGGAAACCTCCACCCTAAGACCACGTCACTTCAATCCTCCCGATTCGCCTCCTGTTAGACTAATGTTCTATATTTGTTTAGGAAATGTTTAGGGTTTTTTTCTCAGGAGGGTCAATGCACTGTTATGGTATGTCACAATCGATCACAGATAGATTTGCTGCTGTAGTGGATGTCTTTTTTCTCTATCCATGAAAAGTTCTCCATTCACGTTTTTTTTTTTGTTTGTTTTTTAAAAGCGAGTTAGTTTGTGGTTCGTAGAGGAAGACGACGACGGTACTGGTCAAGATATTAACTCTTGGATAAGTAGTGAAGACAAGCATAGGTAGCATAGGTCCTGAAGGCGTGCCTTGAGTTGCTACGATTAAATACATGTTTTAGGTCAGACAGGCTTTGAATTACAATTTTGGTGCCATTTTTTTTATTTTATTTTATTTTTATTTTTTTTTGCCTTATAATTGTCACTAATCAGTTTGATCCAATATTTTTATTCATCTACAACCATTTGATTTTATTTAAAGGAACAGTTCAGCATTTTGGGAAATGGTTGCTGGGAGTAAAACGAGACTGATACAACTTTCATGTCTGTCCAGAGGCAGTTAGCATAGCTTAGCATAAAGACTGGGGGGGAGGGCGGCAGCTAGCTTGACTCCGCCTACCTGCACCTCTAAAGCTCACTGGTCAATACATTTAAAAAAAAAAAAAAAAAAGGTTTTCTTCCAAGAAATATGTCTTTTAAAAAAAAAAAAAAGACAAATAGTGGTTTTATATGTGGTGACTTCCTGGTGGAAAACTAAAGCTTTTGTACTGATTAAAAAAACAACAAAATAAAGTGTGTTAATAAGTGATCTTCAGAGGTGCGGATGGGACAGAGCCAGGCTAGCTGTTTCCCCCCGTTTCCAGTCTTTATGCTAAGCTAAGCTAACAGACTCCTGCTTGATATTTACCGTACAGACGTGAGTGGTATCGATCTTATTTCAGTCACATTCCCCGAGATGTAAAAACGATTCCTTTAAAACAGTTGGAGACTGGAATTTGAACACTACCCAGAAGTTAAATTTAAATTTGTCTTCTGGACATTTGAACATCTGTGAACCTCATTAATCAGAACTCCTGGTCTGTGTTTACTTCAGGTGGCACTTTGTTGTTGTTGTTGTTGTTGTTGTTGTTGTTTTCTTCCCCCCTCTAAAGTAGAACCAGACCAGTTGCTGATACTGGTTGTTTTATTCCCCCCCCCCGTCTGCTCCACCATCACGACTTTGATTTCCTCGCCTCCCATCTCTGTACGTGTTCTGTGTATCACTACTTATCTCTGACCGACATGTTTCTGTAGCTCACCACAGAAGGGTCCAGTCTTTTAGCTCAAACATTGGTTCTAATCCTCCTTCAAGGTGCTGTCTGTCGGCTGAATCCATACACGTGCGGCATCAAGCTCTCGGTTTTGCTACTTGAACTTCATCGTACGGATTCAGACCTATGACCTCTAATGTACAACCTCACACGTGTAAGATGTACTTTGATTAATCAATATTTACTTGTGAATATGGATTGAAATCAATTGAATCACTGCAAACCAATGACTTCATGACATAACAGGGGCTATGGAAGTACTTCATGACACAGGATTACTTGATCAGATTTCAGCAAATCAGCATTCACATGGATGGAGAGAAAAGAAATGAAAAAAATGACAATTGTCTCAGTTCAGAGGATGGATTAGCATATACCTCATTCCCAGTCCAGCAGCGCTGGAACTTAAAATGCTATTGTATTGACATTAACAGTTATAAACAGCATTATGTACACTCAGTTTAAGAAAAAACAAATCTCACTTATGTTGTAGCTTTCACCTGATCGAGCCGATTGCTTATAGTTTGCTCATAACTGTGCGTAAGGAAAAAAACAAAACAAAAAAAAGCTGTGAGATATAAAATCTTGTATGTTGGTTTTTTTTCCTTTTTCTTTTTTTTCTTTTTCTTTTGGTTCGTTTGTTTTTTTTTTTTTCTTGGGACCATTTTGTTTCACTTTAGATCTTGTACAGATTTATGGTTTGGTTTGACTTATTTATTCCATCAGTAGTGCTTGGTTTTTATCATGTCCAATGGTTTTGTTTTCTTAATAAAATTCACAAAGTTGTCGGTGTTTTCTCGACTGTTTCGGTGGGAAGGAATCAGTGTTAGAAAATCTAATCTACATATATAGAAAGTTGTTCTTTCACACTGTGCTGTTGATTTAACTTTTATCTATATATATATATATATATATATATATAAATACTCGCTGTTTCCCATTCACTTCTGTCGAAGCCAGAACGAGAGACAACTTTAAATGTGAATTTCCTGTGATCTCCAGCCGACTTCACCTTTCACCTTTGCTCCCCTTTGATGGAGTCGACGCTCTTGGTCGGCCAATAGAGACACCGCTGCACTGTCTGCAAATCATTGTAGCTATGAGCCGACTCACCTCTGTCTCACCATGTCATCTTTATCAGAGAGATTAATGCTGGGTCGGTTTGGTCGGTCGCTCGGTCCTCTGGAGCTCGTGTAAACTGCATCGGCTCTTTGCTCCTGAACCTCTCAGGAGAAAATGGATCTGGGGATGAAACTATAATGATCAGAACATCAGTTCATCCATATTGTCCTGTTAGAAACAGGAAGTAGACCGTCGTTCCTGCTGGAGTCAACAAACACAAACACAAACTTCTTTTTTTTTTTTTTTTTTTTTTTTTTTCTTAGTATTTCTATAGGACTGTTCAGGAGTATACAGTACATAGAAAACAGTGACATTTCTTACACCACATCAACATCTGTAAAANTGTGCGTAAGGAAAAAAACAAAACAAAAAAAAGCTGTGAGATATAAAATCTTGTATGTTGGTTTTTTTTCCTTTTTCTTTTTTTTCTTTTTCTTTTGGTTCGTTTGTTTTTTTTTTTTTCTTGGGACCATTTTGTTTCACTTTAGATCTTGTACAGATTTATGGTTTGGTTTGACTTATTTATTCCATCAGTAGTGCTTGGTTTTTATCATGTCCAATGGTTTTGTTTTCTTAATAAAATTCACAAAGTTGTCGGTGTTTTCTCGACTGTTTCGGTGGGAAGGAATCAGTGTTAGAAAATCTAATCTACATATATAGAAAGTTGTTCTTTCACACTGTGCTGTTGATTTAACTTTTATCTATATATATATATATATATATATATATAAATACTTGCTGTTTCCCATTCACTTCTGTCGAAGCCAGAACGAGAGACAACTTTAAATGTGAATTTCCTGTGATCTCCAGCCGACTTCACCTTTCACCTTTGCTCCCCTTTGATGGAGCCGACGTTCTTGGTCGGCCAATAGAGACACCGCTGCACTGTCTGCAAATCATTGTAGCTATGAGCCGACTCACCTCTGTCTCACCATGTCATCTTTATCAGAGAGATTAATGCTGGGTCGGTTTGGTCGGTCGCTCGGTCCTCTGGAGCTCGTGTAAACTGCATCGGCTCTTTGCTCCTGAACCTCTCAGGAGAAAATGGATCTGGGGATGAAACTATAATGATCAGAACATCAGTTCATCCATATTGTCCTGTTAGAAACAGGAAGTAGACCGTCGTTCCTGCTGGAGTCAACAAACACAAACACAAACTTCTTTTTTTTTTTTTCTTAGTATTTCTATAGGACTGTTCAGGAGTATACAGTACATAGAAAACAGTGACATTTCTTACACCACATCAACATCTGTAAAATGGTCTGAACATTTGGAAACCATTTATACACTGTGCCTGAAGTTGTTACATATAAAACATTACACTAATAACAATAATTAGACATATCACTTATAAAGTACACAATGTTTTAAAGTCTATACAAACGGGCTTTGTTTTTCCCCTGGAGCGGAAACCTCCTTATACGACGTCAATCTTATCAACAGGGCAGAAAAATAAAATGTAGTACACATAAAAGCTATCTTTTGTTCCATGGCACTGTGTACACATTTATCAGAAGGAGGTTTCTGATTAGTATTTACAAAGACTAGTGTCAATGGTTAGTCATGTCATGTATTATACACTGTTACACTGGAAGATTCAATATGATCCAAAATTGTGCTTAAGAACAAGATAAGTCAAATACATGTTTCTGTACAGGGTTGATTTAAAGGAATAGTTCAACATTTTGGGGAAATGAGATTATTCACTTCCAGGCGTCTGGACTCGCATGAGAAAAACTGATATCACTGTTTTTGTTTAAATCGTTTTTTTTTTTTATTCCACACATTCTTCTTTCTCGTCAAAACCTGACGCCTACATTACCCACGATGCCACTTGATGGCCACAGACGTTTGGGTGAACTCACTTCTTTCTTACCCCCCTTTTGTTTTTTTTTAACATTTCAAACTTCTAAACTCTTCAGACATTTATCAAATTTCATGCAGCTCTTTCCTGAGCTTCTTAAAAATTCATAGAACTTTTTTTCACCTAGGTAACAGTACCTGTAAACAGACGTGTAATATCTTGTTTGTCTAGTATTAAAGTATAAAAACAACAATTTCACTCGGGTCCTGCAGGAGATAGAGCCAGGCTAACTGTGTCCCCTGTGTCCAGGCTTTGTGCTAAGCTAACCCGCTCTAGCTTCACATTTACCAGACGGATATGAAAGTGGTAACTTGTAAAAACTTCTCATGTAAAAGTGAATAAGTGTGTTTTTCCCAAAATGTCAAACTTTAGCTTTAAAGAGGGCAGTAGTACTGAAGGATCTGTACTGACCTTATTGATAAAATAACTTTTAAATAACGTTAGAATCATAACATTAAAGCGCCGTGTGTTTCTGTTGAATCTTTAAAGTGGACAGTGCAAATCTAAGTGAGCGGAGGCGTCTATAGTTTCATCTGGGTCAGTTCCTGTAACACGAGGCAGATGTTTTCAAAAGCCCACCTACAGTATACTACAGTAGTCCTAGTACAGACTATACACTTTCAATCAGTGCTAGCTTATTTCTCTGTGGGAACATCACTGGTTAGTGAAAGATTAGACAATAAATAACAAAACGCAACAAATTCATCATCAACTACAACAAATCCTCAGTGACTTTCAGTGGCATTAATAAAGATTATTAACCGACACTGACCTCTGGAGATGTAAATACACAAAAATGTTAAAACAGAAAGTTCATTTGTGACCTTAGAAACAGTTGCTGACAAAATAACCTCACCATAAAGTCCATTTAGTAGCTGTTCTGGAGCTTTCAATCAAGTCGCCCACTTGTCATGGAATCATAAAATCTCAACTTTAAAGCGATAATAAAAATGGAAATTTTGAAGATCTATAATTCCACCACAACTGCGCAAACTCCATCTGCTGAGAAAGATTGTGTGATACGATCGAAAGCTCCAGATCCCAAATTAAAGGGACCTTGTAGTGAGATTGTTTTGTCAGTCACACAAATGCTTTAGAGCCACTTCCTACAAGAAAAGTGAGCGAGTAAACAAATGAACTGACCTGTATTTGTAAAATATGTGAGGTGTCCCTTTAACTCAATGTCCACTTACTAGCCTTTTCTGAAGCTTTCAGTTGCTTCTCACAGTCTTCATAAACAGATGTAAACACAGGAGTAAACTGTTTATTCCTGAGTCTCGAGACTAAAATGCTTAACTCTGTGAGATTCAGTTAAAAGCTCTGGAAAAGAACCAGTAACCGTGGAAACCACGATTTCCAAGGTCAAGACTGAACTTCTCTCATGTTAAATTATTAATGTGTGAGTTTACCACAGGTTAACATCTAGCTAGGATCGTTAGCTAGCGGAGGATCAGGGCCACTACAAGGTCAGAATATTTTGAGAATAAAGTCAAAATTAAAAGTCAAAAATTTATGAGAAAAAAGTCGTAATATATCAAGTATAAAGATGTGATATTATAAAAAAAACTGAAATCACAATATCAGAAGAATTAAGTCGTAATATTCAGAGAAAAAGTTTTTAATATTCAGAGAAAAAGTTTTCTAGAATAAAGTTATAATATTACAAGAATATTGTCTTAATATTTTGAGAAATAAGTTTTTTAGTTGCTATTATGAGAAAAAAGTTGCATTATCTTGAGAGTAACTTAGTAATATTTCTACATTATGCTGTAATATTATGAGAAAGTATTTTCAAAATAATGTTGCAATGTTTTGAGCATAAAGTAAATATAAAGTCGTAAAAGTCATAATGTTAAGTTATATTTTAAGAATAAAGTTGTAAAATATTGAGAATATTCTGTAAATATTCCTCATCTTTTTCTTCAAAATCTTACTTTTGTTTTGGTCAAAATATTGAGTTTTTCTCATAAAAATTACAAATGTATTTTCCAAATGTTGAAATCCTTTTTTCCTACAAGTGGCCCTGACACTCTGCTGTGAGTTGATACACTGGAGGAAGGGCTTTGGACTAAACATAAACATTAGTAAACTGTTTGACGTGGCAGTATCACTCCCTCTGATTGGTTGGTAGCCGTACAGACTGAGGAATGTAAAGTCGGAAAGGAGCTTCAGTTTCCCTTCAGTTTCTACTGTGCTTCACTTCGTTGCATCACTTTGTTTTGCTAATTCAAAAAATAAAGCCCCCAAAAAAACAACGAATGTGAAACATCACTTCTGCTTATTTCAGAAAACAAACTTAAATGCAAAACAACACGTTAAAAAACGACAAGTGCAGAGGACGGATTCCTTTTGTCATAAACATCAATATTGCACCAAAGCAGCATATTTGGACGAGCATTCTGCATCACAGAACAGTTTATCTTCAGAGAAAAAGAGCTGAGATCAGGACAGCGGCTACCAGTGAAATGCATAAATACAGTATAAAAATACGTTATGGAAAAATCTGCAGGCATGTCGGGCTGGATTGTGGGGGATGTAGCAGGAGAGTAAAAGGTGAGAAGTGCTGAAGAAGAAAGAGGAGAGGGAAGGGATGAAAATGTAGGGAGAGAGTTTTTGGAACCTCTAGAAGGTCTGGTCGTCGTTGCAGGACTCCGTGGCGTGTCCGAAGGCCTCGCAGATGTCGCAGTAGGGCCTCTCTTCGGCCGGGTTGCCGTGATAGGTGGTGTGAGGTACGGAGTCGGGGCTCTGGGCCTGAGTGGGACAGTCCTCGGTGTCGTGGAGGTCGAAGCAGTCGCAGATGTCGCAGAACAGACGGGGGGTCGGCTTCTTTTCCCGCTTCGACACGGCTTCACCAAAACTACCAGACAGAGAGAAGACAAGGTTTCGATTTTAGACAAAGTTTTGCAGCTCAACCGGGACTCAGAGGGAGAGACTGGCCACAGAATGAACCTTTTATTTGTTTTTTGTGTTTCAATCTCGCGACTCAATCTTCATCGAGGGAAGCAGAAATCATTACATATGTGAATTATTTGAAACTGTGTGTTGGTTACCCATCGGTCCCGTCGTTGCCGTTGAACTCAGCCAGAGCGAGCTTCTTCAGTTTGATCTTCAGCTCCTCGTTCTTCCGCTGCAGGTCCACGATCACGCTGTTCAGGAAGTTGATCTGGCGGAGACAGTTAAGACACAGATCACCTTCACGTAGCCACAGGTGAGAGCGGACAGCACTGAACGTGAAGTGGCTGACTGGAGGCATCCTGACGGTCTCACCTGTCCCTCAGCGAACTCCTTCTCCTCCCTCAGCTGCTCCAGAGCTGCGTCACCTGCAGAAACACCAATCGAAATATAATCGCTGATCAATATGTCTGGGGTCTTCTGATTGTATCAAGGACTATTCAAGGCTATTTTCTGTTTATTTATTTTTATTTTATTTGACATATTTATTTATTTGCAGAGCAGTGTGAATGTGAATGATTGTCTCCTCACCTGACGGTGGAGCTTCCCTGTCCTCTCCCTCTGAGGCCTGCGTTCCCATGAGCCTTTGCTCTAGACTGTGAACACGGCCCTGCAGCTGAGCTTTGTCTCTCTCCAGCGTCTCCACGGCCGACTGCAGGGTCTTGGCCATGGCGTTTTCTCCTCGCAGAACCGCGATCTGCAGCAACAGAGCGAAGAGATGAATCTCTCACCCAGCTCAGATTACACCGTGTAAAGGAAGATAAACCAGAAGACGTGGGGAAAGTCGTGTGTGACTACCTCATTCCTCAGAGTTTCCAGTTCCCGATCTTTGTCTGAGATTAAGGCTCCAGTGGATTTCTGGAATTTTACTTCTCCCTCCGTTTCCTGATTGGAGATGTTTTCTCTGTGGAAACATGGAGATTTAGAGCGTGTGCTGCAGGTTGTCTCCTGTCAAACAACTACAACTCCTGTCTGGTCTCTTCCATCCACATGAGCCTGACTTCACTGGGAACTACATTCAAGTTCCAGCATCAATACAATTTGAAGATGTAAATGACGCTTGATTTTAACCTCCATAAACCGAGTAATAAAGCAGCAAGAAACCAGGGACTCAATACAAATTCACACCTGAGAATCCTCTTTGCCGCCGCTCGGTGGATTAACAGAACTGTGCATTTCACCCACGGCCTCAAAAATCAATTATAACACAACAGTGACACCCAGCTGACACCCCGACAACATCTGCCACATAAGTGAAACTGAATCACATCCCCTCGTCTCTTTTCATGTTCACCTGAGAACAGACTCTCTCCCTCTGCTGCATCATCATCATCATCATCATCATCATCATCATCATCATCATCATCATCATCTCTGCTTTAATTGATCAGCACCTCTTCATTTCCCCTCGGCCCAAAAACCACAGAGCTGCCAGCTGCTCTTCACATCCCTCTGCCTTCATCCCTTCTGTCGCTTCGATCTTACACCACACGTCTTTGATCCACGACTGTCATCTTTCCTCAGTCCCCCGATCATCCCCACTTTATTTAACATTCACTCTCAACTTCAGTCGCTGCTCTGTAGAAGTGGTGAGACGTTTTAATCCTCTTGATTACTAAGCTGAGACGTGCGAGACGACGAAGTCACAGCTTCTTTTATTTCCAGACTTAGAGAGGGCTCAAAATAAGACCAATCAAAACAAGTAACAACACAGTAAATAGATTTAGAACCTAAAACACCATTTTCAAAGTGTTCCTGAAAACTAAACGCGCTGTTAGATACAATAAACCCTGCTGTCGTTCAGGAAACAACATGTAATCAATATTGAGTCAGTTCCATTTTGGACCCAGTTCCCAGTGAGAAAAACACTCACCAGCTCCAGCTAATTAATAATTAATTTATTCTGTAACAGCTCCAGTGAAACTTCAGTCTGTTGGTTAATCTGCCAAAGATTGTTTGTGAGTGAAAAGACACATCACTCTGTTACATCTCTCTACGACCTTTTTTGTTGTTGTTGTAATATTTGGCACAAGTAGGAAAAACAATGTAAAGGTCAGTTTGTTCCAGCGGCTAATACAATCAATATCAAATCACTAATCAATGTTTCAGACCTTCTGCTGCTGAGGTTGGAGCTAATGTATATTATAGTGTCTTATAATGATGCATAATCCATTTATTGATGATGTAATGTAAATACATTCTAAACAGTAGGTTGAAATAGCTTGTTCCTGATTATGAGTCAGTGTATAATCTGTTTAATGAGCTATTTCATTGCTTGCGGAGAAATAAATGTGACCGTTATGATTATCTATTAAATCACGTTTATTTTTTTTTTTTAAATCTCATTCATTTCTATTTTCTACAACTAAAAACTGGGTACAACAAAGTGACTGCATCAAAGTCCGAGCAGGAGAGAGAGAGTTAGAAAGTCCGAACATGTCTTACCTGGTCTTCATGTCTGGTGTCTGACTGTTGCGGTCCTCGTTGTGCTGAGAACAGATCACACACACACACACACAGATATAGAGGCATTAAACAAGACGCTAAACCCATCTGAGCTTTAAGAGTCCAGTCACAGCGGGAGGTCGAGCCTCGCTACGACAAAACCTATTAATCACATCACCGTGTCTGTTTTTACAACAAACCCCGATCTATAACAGGATGAAGGAACCTCGTTTACATAATGTGGAATCGGGAAAGGGTCATTACCTCGTCAAGGTGCTGAGACTTCTGGGAGGCCAGCTTCAGCTCCTCGCTGCAAGACAGGAGACGTGACACACTTTAAGTGCGACAGTAAAACCACTCAGGTTCCTGTGATATCTATGTCACGATCACTGCTATATGCTTAAATCTAAGTCTGCTGCCAGATGTTGACTCTGCTCACATCTGTTGAACACGAACACACACATCACTTGAGCTGGTACAGTTACTCGTCAGAAAAATGATGCTCAGGTATGAAGATTTCCTGTTTCCTGATGTGGGTTTTATTACTTAACTTGTAAAGGCAAACAGTTGCTTGTTTACACATCCAACAGTCGTGGAGCAACAGGTCGTGTACTACCTGTTGACACTGATGAAAACCATCTCATCATTCAAAAAGCCATCTGTCTGTCTACCTCTGCTGCTTCTGCTCCTTTTCTCTCCAGCACCGAGATACAGTACGTATACATCCACTCAACCAGGATATCATAAAGACGATACTGTAATCTGCCCATATGATCAAAATCAGTCAGTAGCAGAGACGCCGTTGTCTATTTTTAGCTGCTGGAACCAAATGATTTTCTGGAGGAATTGAGTTTAGCTCCATGTGGGTCATTCTTAGGATTTGAGTGTGGTGAGGAAGTCTGAAGCTACGCGTGACTAATATGCCGCTCTGAGCACCATCTGGGTGAAATATCTGGCTGACTGATGTACAATTACATTCATCATGTCGCTATAGCATCCTGCACACACACAACAGAGGAGGAGGGGGGAGTTAGAGGAGACTGCACTTCCATATTTTTGTATAACGAAGACTGTTCAAACGAAACGTCACTGTTCTCTCAGACTCGCTTTTCCAATTTGACTTGTGACAATGTTTCATACAAAATCTAAAACAACAGTATTTAGTTTGTTAAGGAAAATCCCCACAGAATTTGTTCTCGTTTGAAGTGGAAACATTTCTCCATCGATCGATAGTCAAATAAAGTTTGAAAGTTTTGGTCAAAAAATGCAAAACATTTGCTGATTCCAGCTTGTTAAGTGTTAAAACTTTACTTTTTGGACAAAAATATCAAGAAAATATCTGGCAGATTAATTGATAATGAAAATAATCGTTAGTCGCAGTCCTAAACAAACCCCATGAAAAGACCAAAACCAACAGTGAGTCTGTCTCTCAGTACAATACTTTCTGTGACCTTGGTTCCTTCTGAAGGTATATATATCTTTAAGAACAGATCACAAACATGTTTTCATTTTTTATAATGGCAAAATAATTTCTTAAAACAGTTGGTCACTGTAGTTTTAATCAAATATGGTGCGTCTATTGGGGAACTACTTTCAGTGGCGGATGAATCGTTTGAGTTTAGTGAGTATTTGCAGCAGCAGGGCGGTGTGTGTGGGACTGAGGCAAAATAAACGACAGTGAGTGTTTATGGTGATGAAGGAACATATCACCCAGTGTAACAGTGAGTCTCCCTGATGGGTTTTTAATGGTTTTTGGAAACAATGGAGCTCTATGGCTCAGAGGATTAAGATCACACACACACACACACACACACACACACACACACACACACACACACACACACACACACACACACAATAGTTGTTCGTAGATACAGTCATTGTTGGTTTTGTTTTTTTATGGGATTTGTTGACAAGAAAAAAAATATAAAATATCACCTGCTTTAACCTTTAAACGTAAACAACAACAAATTAGTTATAAACATAAAATATTTGAATATATATGAAGCAGAAATTCAAAGTGAATTGTGCCCTACTTTAAAACCAGGGCTACAAATCCAGCTGTGGTGCTTACAGCTGTTCTCTCAGAAGCCACAAAAGCCACATTGATTCCACACAAACAAAACACACAAAGTCACACAATCAGCTTTACACAAACACACACACACACACACAAACACTCTGATGTCACAGCGGGAGAGGAGCCCATGTTGGAGCCAGGCTGTCCTAGGAGGAGAGATTACATAACAGCGGCAGACGGAGGAAGGATGTGCCTCGGAGAGGACGGAGGAACACATTGTTGGGTCGCGACAGGACGGAGGTGGAGGGTGGGAAACAAGTCTTAAAGGTGTTTAACGTGACTCCTCCACGTACAGGCATTTGATTTATTTTAGTGTTGCGTTTAGGCACAACGCCGAGAAGCAGACAAAGCGCTGCTCACTCTAACGAAGGACATTTGTTGACATTTTCGTCTCCATCTGCTGCTCCTCCTACAGGACGCTGTACGTTAATGACTGTAATTCAGCCAGTTAGATCCATCTGGAGCGCTGACGTCACAGCTCGGGGCTCTGATGACTCAGGGGAGGTGTGGCAGGATGATGTAAAGACTCAACAACACACCACATACCTCCACACACACACACACACACACACACAACAGATACACACACAAGGTCTATAAATAGACCTCGACATCAGGTTGGAGATCCACCACGAACACAACAAAGCAAAGGTAAAAACATGCCGGGAAAGGAAGGAATATTTTTACCTTGCATCAAAAGCATCAGCTGAGCGATCAGTCACAGATCTGCTGCTGATTCATATTTCATATATTTTTTTATATTTTACTGGATAAGTGTGATACTAAAGAAACATTAGAAACATGAGGATTCTCAGGCACCTTCTGCACTTATAAGAAGCCTCTTTTTTTCCATGATTTAAACACAGATTTATGGATGTTCATTCATTCATTATTCAGAGATAATAAAATCCTTGGGAAATGTAATTCCCACTAAATCTAAAAATATTTCTTATCATGTCTGTTCAGAGTCGACTGAGTTATGACGCAAAGACTGAACATCAATATTGACTTAAATTGCATCTCACGCCTCATGTTTCCATTTTGCAAATGGATACATAAATAAATACACAAACAAATAAATAAAGGAGTTTCTTTCATTTGTTTTCATTCATTTCCACACAATATGAAAATCATTCGGCGAAACTCTTGAGTTGTGTAATTCACTGGATTCATTTCTTTCCGAGTGGCGTTATCATTATGAGGTGTCACGCTCACATTCATCTGCCCTTTAACTGTGTTACTACAGTTTGTAACAGATTACACGACTCGAGCTGATTTCAAGAACGTTCTCACTGATTTTCAAAGGATCTTAAACTTGGTCTTTTAAGGATAAACTCAAACATTTTCAGTGAGGACTCATGGTTTCCAAATGTTTATGTGAATACCCCGAGACGGTTTTCTGAGTATTGTGCATTGTGCTCCACTCCACCATTATATCTATAATCACATAATAGCCCCCTTAGGCTAATTATGGACCTTCCACAACAATTTATAGCATATTTACAAGTGGACGTGTCTCTCTAGAGAGTTAGAGATGGAGCCAGCTTAATAACACACTTGACATTTCACTGGTCGACCAATAAAGACATTTTATACATATTTACATTGTCTACATATAATTAAAACAAGCCACAGTACTTTCTTTGTTTTTAATAATCAGTGTAAACCGCCCCACCCCACCCCTCTCCTCTCAGGACAAATTCACCACACCAGTGTAATTAACTGTCTGGCTGGAGGTCACCAGGAAAAAACACAATAGTTATAGTGAGTACTTACATTTCCTTGCAGAGGACGCCGATACGCTGGTTTTCTGAGCTGCTGCGCTCCTTCGACAGACTGAGCTCCTCCTGGTATCTGGAGTTCTGAGAGGAACAGACACAGACCGATGAAGCGAAACGGAATATTTACAACGTAGGACATCACGAGAGGTGAGGTTTGTCTCTTTTCGCTCTTCTTAATATCACATTCACAGGTAAAACGCTGTTCCACTTCAGCCTCAGTCGGGCTGGATTAGCTCCTCCGGTGGCGGGGGAGCGATTTTAACATGATCTGTTCTAGTCAGTGATTTTAATCCTTCCTGGAGCCATATTGTGGGTATCGTTTCACCCCCACCCTAGTAATAATAACAGCTGCAATTACCCACTAATTTTCAGTGAACTCCCTAGTCCTGCTGTAACGTCCTTGTGTTTTAAAGTGGATCTCTATGGGAGAAGCTGTTTGTCCTTCTACTTCATTTATTTTCTTAATCAGCTCAGTGTGAAATTCAACTTTTGTGTGAAAATGTTTTTGCTGGTCTGACAGATGGAAACGCGCTAACACCAACGGGTATGCTGCATTAGCTGTCAGCGCTTCCTGTTTGTAGTGTACTGATGGATGTAAAGACAACGATCACTGTGTGACCGAGATACTGAAGCTTCTTTTTTCAGTGATTTATCAGCAGATTTATGGACGTTTATTTGCGCCAGAGATCAGAGATCACGATATCCTCAGGAAGCGAGTGACGTCAACATATGTTTCACGTCTGTGATTGGGCTGAGTGATGTTTGACTCTAATTCACCTCACACAGTATCACTGCCTCCACTTCAACTTTGTCTTTCTCTTGTGGCTCTGTCTCGTCTATTACAGACCAAATCTGTTATTTCATCTTCCCAAGGAAAAGCTGCTGTAAATTCTGGGCCATTAACTGTAACACCAGGTAACACTTAAAATACACACTGCCTAGATACTCCTGCTGACTCAGCAGACTGCATGGGTACGGGTTAAATCCATGTGAGGCTAAAAATAAAAGCCCCAGAGACGTCAGCTCCTTCAGCTTCACCTCAAGCAAAGTTTATTATTGGAGTCTAATTGTCTGGGATCCCAAAATCATCACCAGAGCAGAGCAGTGACACCAGCAGCTTTAAAAAAAAAAAGAAAAAAAAGCAACGATCAATAATTAATTAACATGTATGACTCTGAAATCAATGCTTTTGCTACAATTGGCATCAAATACAATAAGTAAATAAAAACTAGCGTGTAATGATTCAAACTGTAAGTCGGTTTGTTTTCTGTTAACACTTTGTTAAGTGTGTCATCAGCTGTGTTTTGTGATGTCTCTCACTTTGTTACACCTCAGTATTTCTCTACACCTCCAAAGTGAGATCGAGGCCAGGGAGCACGCTAAAACACACACACACACACACACACACACACATATGTAAATACACACAAACATGCAGAGCCGCACACACACAGGTTATCTGGTGCATGCTGAAATAGACACACACATATAAGCTAATAAAACACATGTGAAACAAACACGCAGGATGTAAACAGATCAAACGCTGGGTGACAATCACAGGCGGCAAAAAAGGAAATCTGACATCAGCACCGAGAAAAACAATAACTGACCGGAGCTAATTAGAGCAAGTGGAAGAGGAGAAAGAAAATAACCTCTCTAACTGTTCACAGTGCCATGAAAATGCTCCTGCACTGGCTGGCGGTTCAGTTTGAATCCTACCTGGTAGTGAGGCGAGTAGATGTTGCTGGAGTAACCCTGATGCAGAGCAGCTATGTCCATGCCTGCACACGGCTCGACCCTGCCGGATTTCAACCTGATGTTCCCCCTGCTAAACACAGCAGCTCTGTTACTGTGCCTCCGCTCTCCCCCTGTCCACCAGTGTCACATGCACAGACTAACACAAGCTGGGCATCAATAAACCATCAGCTCTCATCCCCCCCTCCCCTGCTGTGCACAACAACCGCGAGAGGCAAATGGAGAGAGTGTCGCCTGAGCAGCCTCCCTCTCTCGCTTTCTCACAGTCGGGTTAAAGAAGCCAAGCACTTCCATTATGTAAGCCTGAATAAGCTCCTCCCAGACACCCCCCCCCCCGCACCACCACCACCACCACCATCGTTCTGCTGCTCACAATCTTGTTTCCTCACTCTCTGACACCGCATGTACACACACTCCTCTAAAAGCTTCACCTCTCGCTCTCAGTGAATCACAGAAGCTTCTCACAGAAGAATCAGCTGGTAACTGCAACTACAACACTGTTTTGCTTTTACATAACAAGCTCCGAGAAAAACAACCAGCCATTCACACTGAACTCTGTCACACTGTTTTCCAGATGAGCTGCAGCAGCTGTACACAGACGAGCCAACAAACGGCTGCAGCTAATGATCGTTTTCACAATCGCCTGGTCTGTCAAACGTCAGAAAATAGGGAAAAATGACGATCATAAGTTTTGCAGAACCCAATATGATACTGAAACTGTTTCCTTTGGTTGATCGTTAATCGTCACCTCCTTCTCCTCAACCATCAGATATCGACTGAGAAGCCAAACCCACTGAAAAAGCCAATTAATGAGGTTTCTCTCTCTCTCTCTCTCTCTCTCTCTCTACGCCAAAACCCAAAGTTTAGAGATGCAGCTAACAGTCATTTTCATTGTCAATAAATCTACCGATTATTTTCTTGATGAATGAATGGATCGTTTGGTCAGAACAGACGGAGACGAAGGCGACAGCTTCACACCTTTTCTTTTGTCCGACAAACAAGTGCAAAACCCGAAGATATTCAGTTTATAATGATTTAATACAGAGAAAGAAAATCTGATCGAAGGAGTCGGAATCAGATCATTTTAAGCATTTTTGTGCTTAAACAAATTAATTAAACTGAATAATAGATGAATCATTTCAGCTCTAAAGACAAGTAATTATTCACAGCTGAGAAGCTGCAACCAGAAAAAAAACACAAACTGAAAATGACCAAAAAACAATAATAAGAAAGGCACAAACAATTAATCAATTTTTAAATCTGTTGCTGATCAATCATCTGTTGATCGAATAATATTCATTGAATAATTGTTAATCAAACAGACGTCTGAGGACGATCTCAAATCAACCGTCCATCAACTAAAGCAATGTCCTGTCCAGCATCATCACAGGCATCATCATCGTCATCATCATCTCACACACACACTCTCTCTCTCACACACACACACACACACACACACACACACACACACACACACACACACACACACACACACACAGCAGCTCACTCTAACATGTGCAGGATTACATCACAACCTACAGCATCATGGGTGAGTGGAGAGCAGAGGCAGATGTGAGAGCGTCCCTGCTGAATAATTGCTCTATAATGTGTATATATGGATATGTGTGTGTGTGTGTGTGTGTGTGTGTGTGTGTGTGTGTGTGTGAGAGATGTAAACTCCTGCTCTCTCTCTGTTGTTGCTGCAAAAACATTTTTCCATTTCTGACGTTGGTCGCGTTTGTCGTTTGTTCCAACCTTTAAACACTGGACGTTATTTTACGCTCTACTTGCCTCTGTTGAGTGAATTTAAATATTCCAGTTTATAATACCTATAATACCTTTAATCATGAATTTGAAATTAAATCACAATTATTTCCTGCTCATCATCACAAAAGCTTGTTGTATTTACACAAGTATCTGAGGTGTTTATTTTGGGAGCGTATTTGCATATTAATAGTGCTCACAGGTAAAACCACATACCCCCAAAATGACTATTATTAAATAAATAAATAAATACCCAATCACCCTGTATTTTAACCCTCCATATTTAGCATTTAAATATATAATAAATAACACACTTTAATGTGGTTGGACTAAAGCTCCTCCTCTGAAGCGTCAGTAACTGGTGTATAAACAGTTAATAAATGATTAACAACATAACACAGCTGTAATCATACAAACTGTGTATTTGTATTAATTAAGTATTATTTAATTATTTATTTATTTAGAAATACTCCCTCTTCAACTTCCATGACAACTGAGCAAACTCTGTCTGCTGATGAAGACCACAAGAAGCGAGTGAAAGATCCAGATGAAGCTCAACATGTCTCCATTTTAAAACACATTTATTAATCATTTTAAAACCAGCTTGTGAATAATTTGTATAAACAGCTAATAAATACTTGATATAAAACTCTACTGATTTGTTCATGTGTATAATTATATATCAGTAAATATGATTATAGCTGCTTTGATTCATTAACTGTTTATTATAGTATTAGAAAAATACATTAATAAACACTTAAAAATGTCTATATATCCGTATCGACTCCATTATAGAGTGTTAGAAACATTTCATTAAATGTTTTTAGACTGCTCATAGAGAAATAGAAAGGGTTGAAACCCTTTTTTTAATTTGAAAATGCCCTTGAGTGGTAGATATACTGTCAGGAAATTCACCCCCAGCACTCTTACAGCTGTTTTCAAATCCATCCAATCTCCAGAAGCTAAAGGGAAAAAATTCCTCCTTAAGTTATGACCCAGAACAGCAGGACAGCACAGTTACAGTGCTGAAATATGGAGCATGAAAAAGGCTGAAGCCGCGGAATGACGCATATAAACACGACCAAAGAGAAAAAGCATGTTTATGTTCTCTCCATATCTCCCGCTCTAATCTCCTATCCATTTCTCTCGCTGTCATGAGACCGACCAGCTGGAGCGCGCAGGCAGCCGGAGTCGCAGCGACGACACACGGGAGAGGAGATGCACGTGCAGCTGACGAGCAAAGAGGGCGCCAGAGAGCCGCCGTATGGATGAGCGGCTGCAGGTGTGGACCTCGGTTGGAGGCGCGGCACGGATCGAGTGTGAAACGGTAAAAGATATCAAGTTTACAGACAGGGAGGCTGAAGCGGGAAAAGAGAGAGAGAGAGAAAGAGAGAGAGAGAGAGACTGACTGCAGTGTTTCACGCGTGGCTGATTTAATGCGATGACTGGGACTCGCACCGTCACTTGCAGTCAGTGTGGGAATCCTGATGTGAACGCGCAACATAAAAAAAAAACCCCTGCAGCACACTGATGCTGAACTTGTGTACGTGCATGTGCATAAAAATCCTTTCACAGGCCCGTGGACGCGCAAAGTGGCACACAAAGCGTGTGTTCATCGAGCTTCCTCCACATGCTGACACAGTTTACATGGGGCTGTAGTGCGACTGTCACCCGGCATTAGAGGTTAGAGGTTTCCAGGGTTGAGTCTTTTTTTGTTTGTTGTTAAAGCCAAATATAGAACAGCACGAGTGAAAGGAATGGATTAAACACTGTTTATCTGCTCTAATGGAGGCTGCACATGTTAGCATGTCTGGCTAACTAACCGGTCACTCTCAAGTTGGTGTGGTGGTTACATGAACACACAAACACATCCTCACTATGTGGAAGCTGGTACTGGAGGGTCAGACTTGTTCTCCACAACTGAAACTCTCGACTTCCTTGTCCAAACATGTCAGCTCAGCAGCTAAATGGGGTCATGTCAGAAAGAAATACTGAGAGAGAGATTGTTCTGAGGGAAGCTGGAGGAACGGGGGCCGATAACATCATGACTTTACCATGTGTTTACGGTACCACATTCACCACAGCACTATTCACACATCAACACATAAACATAAAAATGATCACTTTCAGCTTCCGTGAGAAGGTTTTCACAATCTTCTCTTGTCTGAAAGCGTCTAGAGTCTCAGTGTCCTGCTGTTTCACACACATGAACTAACCGCAGACGCTCCACTCGCTCTAGCTGTGACATTTAGCAAAGGCAAAGGCCTGAAAGCGTATGGGAAACAGTGTTTGCTACAGGCCACGTGATATTACAATTTAAAATTTAAACTACAGATACATATATCTAAACATATGAAATCATTTGCATAGTCACAAATGTCAGAATGAGTTTTCTTACTTCTGGACTTCTGGTTTCATTCTGTGAATCCTACATTTTTCCTTATTGTGCATGTATTACTGAAGCTAACTAGCTTTTCGCTGCAATGCAATGCAAAGAGTAGAAGACCAAGGACTAAAATATAACAGTGGATATTCATGGTCTCTTGTTGAGGGTCATATCAACCCATATAGTGCTTGTTGGGGCTTTCTACTCACCTGTGTCTCCAGTGTCTTATTCTCATTGGTCAGCTGCTCCAGCAACAGACCCGTCCTCTCCGACGTCTCAGTGGCCTGGAAAACATTGTTATACATTAATTTTAGCTTCGTGGTGTATATATAAACTGTGCACAATGACGACTGTTACAGGACAAGCTCGTTTTTCCTGCGAACGCAAAATAATAATGTTGATCAAGAGAAAACAGGAGGAGTTTCTTTTTTAAGCTTAAAGACACTAAAACACACCACGGAGCGGAGAAAGCAGCTTTAATCAGACAGTGCAGTTAAGAATCTATTTCCCAGCATTATGGAAACTTCAACATAGACAACATCAGCACTCAAACAACTCTTTTCCATTTATAGACCAGAAACATCAGAGGTCGTATCAATCCTGGCTAAAAAAAAGGAAAGGTGAGTCTTTTACTGAGTCATCCTCAAGCTTGTTCAGCTGTTTCACTTCTACATCCATTTGTAATGAGCTCCATGGAGCGAGAGCAGAAGTATTAAAGAGAACAAAATACTGTCTTGTAACAGCAGTTTCCGCTGCAGCCTTTTTTTTTTTTTAAGGGAAGTATAAAAGCAGTTGAAAGAGCGAACATGCTGCTGCTGCTGCGTTTCAATAGCTGAGCTTTTAGGCGGTATTGACCAGCAGTGAGTCCACTCTTCTCTTTCTGTTGTTTACCACTCTCTTTATTCACCAGCTGCTAAGATGTCTGACGTGTGCAGGAACACTGACTGCTAGAAATGAAAGAGCATAAATACTAAATGAGCTGACGCAGAGAGTTCCTGTGGTTTCAAAAGGCAGCAATTGAATTTGTCTAAAGGTAAAAAAAAGAAGGGAGGGACATAAGAATAAATATTGAAGGTATGATAAGATCATTTGTGATTTAGAGAAGCTTGTTCCCAGACAGCTGTGACACAAAACCTGACTCTTTCTGACTTTTTCTTACATCACCTTCTTAATATGATTGATGAAGTCGATCGAGGACAGGCTTTCTGCTATATTTAGATGTTTATTACACATGAGGGGGTTTCTCTTTTCAAATAAGCAGTGTCATGTTCCTCTGTGAAGGACACACAATACAGTGAAGGAACTTCCCTCCTTGCCTCCTAAAACATCTGGAAAACTTTTATTGAATGTCTAAATCAGGTTGCAGTCTTCTTCTCCTCTTTTATAGGTTAATTTCTACCTTATTTCTGCCCTTAACAGCCTGTTTTTGTTCATTTGTTTCCAGTTCAAAGGGACATACATACAATCCTACTCTGCGGTCGCCTGCATATTGTTTAATCTAATGAGAGGGAATGAGAGTAACGTGTGCATGCGTGTGTTAGTAATGTTTTAACAACATCAAATTAGCCGGAGGCTGTAGTCAGCTTTAAAACAAGAGAGCTTCTCTGAGCCTGAACGTAAGCACACTGGAGGGAGGGGGGGGTTATTTAAGGAAGGACTATTAAAGGAAAGTATTCAAATTCAATTGTGACATTTTCAGCACAATCATTTTACCCACTTCCTTTCCAGAACATCACCAATAATCTGCTCAGACGTGTTGACACCCAGAAGGCAGACTGAGCCATCTCGTTCAGAATCAGCAGATGCCGACACGCTGATTCATCGTCTACGTGCAGAATCGCTCCAGCTGCAGCCAGAGCCGCAAGAAACGGTAGAGACATCGGCTCCCAGGCTCTAATGTGTGCAGTGTGAGCACAACAATAAGGAGACTGGTCACATGTTCTTTGTGTGTTGGTCCAGCATCATCTACTGTGTTATTATCATTACGCAACATGCAGTACTTAGATTGGTTTTTTCAAGTAAAAGTGCCAATACAATGATGTACAAATACTCTATTGGAAGCAAATATCCTACAATATCCTAAAGTAAAAGTACAATATCATCAGTAAAATGTATTTAAGTATTAAAGTAAAAGTACATTCTGCAGTAAAATGTCTCCTGTTTATTATATATGACGTTATTAGATTGTTGATATTGATGCATCAATGTGTGAAGAGCATTTTACTGCTGTAGCTGGAGCTGCTTTAGACAGGCTAGTTCCCAACCTGGGGGTCGGGCCCCTCCAAAGGGTCATGAGATAAATCTGAGCGGTCATGAGATGATTAATGGGAGAAGATAGGAAAAAAAAAACAACAAGTTTCCTGTGAAATATAATATAATTTCTCAAACAGTTCAAACCGTCTTCCACGTTCAGAGGGGAAATGTGTCGTTGCTGGAACCGCTAACAACACCGACATCTTTCAAGGCAAGATCTAAATCTGGACAGTAGCTGGTAACTAAAGCTGTCAAATAAATCAGTGGAGTAAAAAGTATGAAGTCCCCAAAGTAGAGCAGTACAGTAACGTAGTTATTTTCCGCTCCGTGTGAGATCGTACCTGTGTCAGCTGGACCTGCAGCTCTTTCTCTCTGCACTGGCTCTGCTCTGTCAGGGTCTGGTAGTCCTTCTTTGACTGCTCCGCACTCTGCTCCAGTTCTGGCAACAAAACAGAAGGACATCAACTTGTAATAACAAACTCCAACTAAATCTGAATATCTAATGAGCACAAAAGCTGCAGAGATACATCCGCTGTGTTTACCTTGCATGGTCTTTGCTGTCCTCCTGTTCTCCTCCTCGGCCGTCTCAAGCTTTTGTCTCTGAAATGGAGAAACATCAGCTTGACTACGAGCTAATCACTTACATAGTAACATTCTTGTACCTTGAGCTAACCAGGGAATAATTACTGCGTCCAGAAAACACGCAAAGTTAGTGGATGAAATACTTCTCTTAATGAGGCCACTTTCACGATGCCCATGAGCAAAATACCTCACAGAGAAAACATAAGACCCGGCAAATCTCCAGCTACAAATAGACATGCATTTTGTTTATTTATTTATTTATTTCACATTGTTTGTTTAAAGCCTGAAAGAATCTGGCAATATTACAGATTTGAAATGGGCCACGGTGCATTGTCCTCTTTTTTGTATCTCTCCCCTGAGTTTATTTGTGGTTATGATGAATTGAGATTCTCCCTCTCTTACCAGACTGGTCAGCTGCTGCTCCACACAACTCTTCTCTTGCTGCACAGACTGAAGCTCTTTCTGTTTGCTCTCCAGGTCGACGCTCAGCTCGCTTATCTGTTGAGGACACACAGTATAGAGCGTACAGTATACACATGTACATCTGAGTAGAGCCATAAATTATGCATTATGACGGCAGCTTAAACAAACCACACATAACAGTGACGTATGCCTATTTACATTAGTGGCTAAAAGGAGGGCTGTAAATAGGAATAACATCAATTCTTATAGTTTTACCGCCATAAATTACATAATAACACTGTTGAATAATCCATTTTACAAGCACAGAGTCTTATCTAGTTGTGGGTGAGGGCTGACTGAACAAAACACCAGCGCTGGGAATTCTCTGACGCTTTCCACAAACCTTTTTCTCTTGAGACTGCGCCTGGGCCTTGAGGCTGCTGATCTGTTGCTGAGACAGAGACGCAGCATCCTCCTTCTGCTGGGACGCCCGGAGCCTGAGCTGGAGATCTGCCACCTCCCGCTCCAGCTCCATGATCCGGGAGCGCTCGGACACGGTGGCCACCTGCAGCAGTGAAATGTAGAAGGGAGGCGTGAGGGCGAAGAGGAGACAGCGGGGCTGACAGAGGAGAAAAGTAGTGGAAATAGTAGACCTGGGTCGTGTAGTGTGAACCAAATATGACAAACTGCTTTAACCTGATTATTGTGATCTGTGTGGGATGTAACTGCAGCAAAATAACTCAGAATTAGCAGTTTAGAGATGAAACTCAAATCAAGGTTCTGTATGTAAGATTTATTTTTGATTAATCGTTCGTCTATAAAACATCAAAAACGTGAAAAACGTTTTTCAAAATTACCTGGAGCCCAAAGTGACTAAATATATTTCATTTAAAATTATATAACAAAGAGAAAAGCAGCAAATCTTCACATGTGAAAAGCTCGGACGAGACACACTTTATGCTATAATATGCTGTAAATGGCTTCATTTAATTTTAATTTATAACAAAAACAAACAGAATTTGTATTATAATGTCTGATATATATGTATTATGTATCTCTTTCATCTCATCTTACATTACTAAAGTAATTACCCAATTATCTAAAGTTATTTACTTTTATATTCCCTGTATTCCCGGAGCACTAATTTAAAAAGACCTGTTCCAAAAACAGCGCCTGCGGTTCACGCCTCCTACCACGACAATTAATTAAAATTCTTACTTGTCAAACAACTGGAAGTCACTGGTAAAGTTTGGATATGTTGGTAAATGCAATGAAGGAGTTTGTGCATTAGAATAAAACTCTACATGCACTGGGTGACATGTTTCATCATCACCACGGACACACACTGTAGTTTTATTTTCACTCATTCCCACATACACTGTCCTGCTGCCCCAAAATACTGACTGGAGAATCACGTGGATTAATCCGCCACTGAAAATAGTCCTGAACAAATGGAACTATTTCTTCCACATTTGCTCATTAAAAAAGGACAGTGTTCAGCTGATTTGGGAAATTACTTTTTAAATTATACATCTGTGAGGTGTTTGGTGGGAACCAGTGGGTTTGGGGCGGAGTGCAACAGACAGGGCGGAGAAGTTGGAAAGTTGAAAGACAGACTAACACGTTGTTGGCCTTTTCATGGGATTTGCTGCAGAAGAAAAATGTAGCACAATGGCAGCCTTATCCTTGAAGACCAACAACACTGGAAACAGGCATTTCCAAACTGTGTCCTAAGAACTTTCAAGCACACATGCATAAGTTTCAGAGCTCAAGGCCGATGAGATGTTAACGTCCCTGTGCCGGGACTCGTCGTGGACTAGGATACGTGGGAAGGAACTTGTGATGAATAAAATCATAAAGATAAATAAATAAAATAGTGTTTGCATCCTGTGGTTTCTTCGACATATTATTCTGTATATAATTATCAAACCCAGTGGGGGAGAAGCACATCACTCAGTGCTGCAGTGGGACTGGGAGTGCCAGCATTACCCTAGTGTCCTCTAAATCCCTCTGGAGTTTTTCAGCTTTGGTCTTTTCAAAGAGCAGGCTCTGCTCAAGCTCCTTTATGTGGGCATGCTCCAGCCTGGTCTGCGTCTGTTAGTAAGAGAGAGCAGGAAGAGAAGGAGAACAAACACCAATGCAACACTGACATGCCAGCCTTGTGCCACGGACAGAGAGAAGAGCAGTAAGTTGGTAAGAAAGCACCGATGGTTTCCAGCTTTTCAATTACATCAGTCGGTTGTGAGCAAAGGAAACGATTATTTGCTCGTTCTGCTCTGAGGAATATCAGGAGCTAATTATTTCCATCATCACAATCTGACTCTCAGGTTCCTCGGATACTTGTTTGATCGTATTCCAGCACCTGAAGGAGACCAATTCAGGCGGTAAACTCCTCTCAAGAGTGACAGAGATGCAGACAACGGAGAGGAAGATGGAAGCATGTATGAAGACCGAAGGCGAGGGAAGACAAAAACAGCTTTCAAGTTCAGGCGTGTGGATGAAAAGATGATGAGAGGATGGTAATGTAAGTGCTGCAGATGGGTAGAAAAATCTCAGAGGGAGGGTAAGTGAATGAAGCACGAATGAATAAATAAAAAAGGAGCAGGGAGAAAGACGTAACTTAACAAGAAAGTAAATGAATGATTCAAGGAGCGCAGGAGAAAGAAAAACCTTAGAATAATTGATTCAATCATCAGCTGTTATTTTTTTTTTAGAGGAAAAGTAAATTAGTGGCCTCTTATTTAACATTTTGAAGTCACTTAATGTGCTTAAGAAAATGAGAACAGAGCAAGTAAAAGAAAAAGATATCAAACTCAGGTGTTCATTGGAAACCTGTGAAAAGGAGGGCTTGTTCTAAGAAGAACTAATGTAATGTAAAATAAGTAAATCAACTAGTTTGTCATTAAAAAAGCATCAGCTTCATAATGAGAGACAGATAGCTACAGTGAGCAAGAGAGAGCGAGAGAAAATGTTTAATTGCAAATCAGATTATATAACCACGAGTTACCTCGAGGTCTCCTTTGGTGATGCACACTTCTTCCACACGAAACTGCAGATCCTCCACTTTTCTGTCAAACAGGGACAATAATAAAACTCTGAAGTGTACATATGAGAGATGCTGTTGCATATATTCTTTATGAAGAGTTGGTATTAAAACTTGAAAGAATCACACTTATGAATGCTCTCGAATGGGAAGTGTATGAGATGGGGTTAATCACACGTGAATTAAGGCTTTCTAAAGAGGCGGAGCCCCGTAACGGTCCGATTGACGCAATGAGTGACGTGTTGATAAATGTTTTTTATTCTTCAGTTTGTGACGAGGAGTAAAAGTGAAGGAATTTCACTTTTATCTTTCGCTTGAGTCAAAACTTTGTTTGGTAACCACGGGCCCTGGTGTCTGCTGTACGTAGCTCTCACGCCTGTCATTAACACCCACAAACAGTGTCGTGTGCAGCTACAGGTAAAGTCACAGCACCCCCACCTTTTCTCCTCCTCCAGCTGGTTGAGCAGCTCCACTTTGTCTCGATCTGCCGCTTCCACCAGTGAACGCAGCTGATCGAGCTTCGCCTCCATCTCCAGGGCATACTGCAACACACACACACACACACACACACACACACACACGATACAGTCCCAGTTACAATTATATTCATGCTACTCTCACAATATAAAATATATACTAATTAGACGACATTTTAATTCTAGTGGTAGGAGAAGCAGGAGCTGAATCTGTAACTATTATAAAGACATTGTTTGAAATATATATATATTTATTATTATATTTACTGATCCAGAACATTTTCTGCAACATCAAAGCAACAGATGTGATGATGAAGCAGCAAATAAAAATCCAGTTTTTGTTATGTGCTTTGTGTCGTCTCCCCTGCAACATGCTGGGGACCTGTGCAGTGACTACAAGGGTATTCTGATGCATGTGTATAAAAACTTTATATGCATCATCACTTGACTTATGTTGCAATGCAGTCTGCTGAGGCACAGACATTTCATAGGTGTGTAGTCATAAACTGCTTTCCCCCTGAAAGTGTGAAAGCTCTTCCTGTAAAGTCCGTTGAGGTCATTTTCTAACAGCAGTGAACAAACCCAGAGAAACACAAACCTTGAGGTGTTATAGTGCTAAAAGCTGTTGTGAGTAACATCTTAGCTTCATCACACATCCAGGAGACACAGAGCAGCTTCATCAGACCATTGGAGTCAGTATTTAAGCAACTCTTCTGATATGAATTAATAAATGAGACTTTATTAAAAATAGAAAGGGAAGTTAATCATCTTTATGATGTGTTTCTCTCTGTTGGCCCGTGTTCATGTCTGACTGCAGGAAACATACACGTGTGCGTGTTTCTCACCTGGTCCCGGCCTTTCCTCATCACAGCCAGCTCCTGCTGCACCTCTCCTGCGTGGCTGGTTGCCTTTGCGACCTCGCATCTCTCCAGGTCTCTCTCAGCGAGCAGCTGCTCGATGTGCTGCTGCTTCTCCTTCAGAGCCTCCTGCAGCGCTGTGGTACCAGAAATCTTACGAGCGTACCGAGCAGATGTCTCCGTCAGCTGGAAAATCACAACATACATCCATATTGAAACACTATGTCTGTTAACTCATATTGTTTTTCAGAGTATTTTACCTGGGAGAGACAAAGTATGACTTACACAGTGTAATTAAGGCGCCACAAAAACAACAGTCTAATTTAATACGGGCAAAACATTCATCTTTCACATAATTTACCTCTTTCAGTTACACTAGGAGGAATTTAATAAGTAGAATAATTTAATTCAAAACAGGTAATTGTGCTTAGATACACTGATGCAGAACACCCGGTGTGCAACCCAGAAACCACATTCATTTATTTTGCCAAATACATTTAGAGAGAAATAAACTGCTGCCCATGTTTTCTATGTTTTTGTACCATGTGCACGTCTTATGGAGATGGTAAAGCTTTGACACTAGAAACCACAGTTCCTAACCTCAAGTGGTTATGTTAGGACAACAACAGCACTTTGGTTAAGGTTGGTGAAATACTGTGGTTTCAGTTAAATAAACGTTAACTTTAACTTTAACCAAGACCATGATCTTTCCATAATAAGCTTTGATTTCTTTCAAATTAAAGCATTATTTTTTATTTTAATTTCTAGCTGAAATTGTAGGAAAACAAATGAATATGTATTTTTCCAATGAAAGTCGTAGAGATACGTTTACAACCTGGTAGATACATTTATTCGTTAAATGTTTCCTCGTTATGTAAATGTAAAATGTAACTCAGGTGATATTATGTGTCTCTAAAAAAAATAAAGTTAAAGGCCGCAAAGCGTCGTGAACGATGGGACACGAAGGAATAAAAGTCACCAGGGGCCTCGTACAAATGTCGCACAAAAACGTTGCGTACGCCAACAGATGTATCAAGAGTGACACGAACATGAGAACTTAAGTTCCTCCTCGCCAGCCTCACGTCCAACCTCGACGAGGTCTGTGCCGGCCGTCCTTCAGCCGTGTTGTGCCAGCTGCGTGGGACGGGCTCATCCGTAGTCCCATCGATGTAGTTGACCAGGATAATATTACAGCGCAATTTGCACAATTGTAGCCAGGAGCGACTTCTCTTATGTAATCGGAGCCTCCGACTGAACACACACACATACACACACATCGCTATAAAAGGCACAATCAGAGGATGAATTTGCTTATGTCAATAGAACAAAAACATCTCCATTCCATAATGCTATGCAAATATGTGATGCAGAACTGACTAATATTGAGGCACGGGGACGTGGATCAGCCCATGATTCATTTATCCTAAAAAAAACAGCACAGTCAGGGGCAGGCTACAAGCTGGCAGGGCGCAGGACGGGTGGCTTCTGGATAACAAATTAAGTCATGAGTTTAATTAATTTAAGCTCAACTCCTCTGAAGCACACGAGAGGCACATACACCCCCAAATATCATGTTGTCTTTAAGACGTCATTAGACAGAATCGGTGCTTTGCAACAAGCCCCCCCGTTTGTCCATGTGAGTCATTTACTTCCGTCGATAAACTAATGTGTAAAGTTGGAAAAGAAAGCCTTTTTTCTCTACTGTATGTGTTCAGAAGATAGTGTATGGTGGACGTAAAGACTACACGCAATAATCCAAATACTACCGTGAACTATTTTAGTCATTTCAATCAAGAGAAAGTGCAAAATGTACAAGACAAATACGAACGTTCGGGTGCAAGGCCGGTCAGGACCCCGCCACATTAAAAGCCTCCGCCACACTCTCCCGCTTTGTTTGTTTTCTGTTATTATTAATGCCAGAGGACAGAGGGCAGAATAAAATCTTTCTTTTCTGAACTCACCTCCAGCACACACTCCCTGCTTGGTTTCGCTATTTTTCCTGATTCTGTCAAGAGGTGAAGCCCAGACATTTATACTCATTATCATATTGAATTTAAGGTGGAGAGAGGGCGGAGAGTATTTTAACATTTAAATAGGATGTACCAAGAAGATGTGCGTGGACTCCTGCGTGTGCACGGTTTCAAACATGTGAATTTTTTGGCGCATATGCTGCTTTCCAGCTTTGTACATTTTTGTTCAGGAAATAACCCTCACACTCAAAGCTTTCAGACAAATTTTCAGCCTCCACAAATTCAGCTACAGCTCACACTGAAGTTTGAGGATGAGCTGCATGACCAGTCGACATGAAGCCCTGAGGCGTCGCACAGTACCACAGTGTGAGTCTTACCAGTCCTGCTCGGCTGGGTTTGCCGCTGATGGAGGAGGTGGCGGAGCTGAGCGAGCTGATGGAGGAAGCGCTGGGGCTCCTCTTGAGGGCGGACCTCCTCCGTGAGCTCTTGGCCTTGGTAGGTGTTGTGCAGGGGAAGCCGATACGAGTCACCTTGTGGACCGGAGCGAACAGACCGAACCTGGGCATGCACTGGAAGTATCTGAGGGGGAAACAGGTCGCACAGTCAGAAACTGAAGCAGAGCCACTGACGGCTGCTGGTTTAGGAACTGTTTGGTTATAGGTTATTGTATAATTGTGTTAAAACAGATGTTATAAATGTGTGAATGCTCTTCACCTGGTCCCTGCTACAGCTCCATCATTCTTCCCGAGTGGCTCATCCAGTTCCACTCCACACCAGTCTCCCTTAGCAAAGTCTGTCTCTCCCAGAAACCGCACTACTCCTGCCTTGGTGCCACCCACCTACACGTAAAAAAACAATCAAAATTATCTTTGATTTACTACGTTCTTCTTTTTTTCTCTATTTGTAATTAAGGTCTTCACTCTGTGCAAACAATACTACGTTTTAATACTTTAATTAACTGGAATAGTGTTTGCACTCATATGAGCAAACCTTACAGATTTTCTGCTAAATAAACCAACTGTTACGATGCGTTACCAGCACTCGGTCTCCCAGCCTCAGCTCCCTCCTGTTCTTCTTCATGGAATCCGTCTCTGAGAGGTTTGACACCGACTCGCTGGACGTGAGCATGCGGTTAAGTACACCACTGGTCTTTATGCCGGTGCCCTGAGCTGAGGGAAGAAAACAGTTGATATGACACAAGAAAACAAGCACAAATCAAACAGCTTTTACTTTACCGGAGAACACAAGTATCGGTCTTGGTGGATGTTACCAGTTGAGGTAGCGGTGACAGGTGCAGCCTCGCTGGCTGCCGAGGCTCCTTGTGCTGGGCTCGGCTGGCCCCCGTTCGCCTCCTTCTCCGGCAGTGCGGTCCTGGATAGCTTTGAAGGCCGCGTGAATATCCCCTTCCCATCCTCACACTGGAAGTACCGGACCCCTGCCACCGACCCGTCGTTCTTCCCGATCGGCTCGTCCAGCACAATGCCCGCCCACTGGCCGGGAGCGAACTGCGTGCCCCCGATAAACTGCACGTAGCCGGGCTTGTTGCCATTGACCCAGACCCTCTCCCCGATCTGATAGTCAGCACCTCCATCCGTGGTGGGGGAGGTCACGCTGCCGGGGGGCTTCTCAGGAGGAACTGGCTTTGGAGCACCTGTAATCACAACTTTGTTTTATTAACCTCTTTTCACTCATATCAGTCAAATAAAAGCAAGTTTTATGTGTGTTGTGTATGTGTTTTTTTGTTTACTACCAACTTCTCAGCTGAAAATAAACCTTTTAACTTCCTTGTATCATTTTTGTGGAATACTAAACAAATATTACAGGTTTAACTTCAATCAATTTAATCATCTGAACAACAGAACATCCACAATAAATGCCAGAGACGTCTTCAAATGTCTTCTTTTTGATGACTGAACGTCCAAAACCCAAATATATTCAGTTTACTATTCAGTTTTGCAATAATCTGCTGCAGGAACATTTTGGTCAGAATTTAAAAACTATTGAGATTATACACCAATCCCTAATGTCATGAAATAACCATCCACTGCTGAAAATAGTCCCCAATAAATACACTATTTACTTCAGTCAGTAACGTTTAATAAAAATACTATACTAATGATATAAAAACTACTGTTTAAATTAGTTAAATTATAATTTAAGATCAAAGAATAAGATTAAACATGACCAAACATTACATATAAACTTCCAATTTGACAGTTTTTACTAACTTGGTGCAACAGGGAGATTTAAAGGACTGATAATGATAGTCAGTTCACACCCAGGCACTGCAGTTACCGACACAGCTTCCCTTTATTCACAGCAGTAATGACTTTCTGTGCAAATGAACCATGATCATAACAATTAGCTAAAGACCGATCAAGTATGTTGAGAATAAAAAAAGGCAGCAAGTTTTTAGGCAAAAATGAAAGTTTTGATCAGCACTTCCCCCGCAGATCAAAGATAAGGTGTGTGTCCTGCTGAGGTTAATCAACAGAGCACTTTGTGACTGATTAAAGGATGGACTCTGTAATCAGCTTGGCTCCCTGCTGAGGTTCAGAATGGCCTCAAGTGTTACTTAGTGCAAACAGCACAACATACAACACTGTTTTCAAAGCTGCATGTTGTTCCCTTTGCTTATAGTGTCATATTCATTATTTATACACAAATGTTCTCTTGTATTTTCTTGTTTCTGTTTCTGTTGCAGTGTGAGTGAAGATTCACCAGATAATATTAGATTAAGTTTGACTAAATTCTTATATTATAAAAACTCAAATACTCATCAACAACAACATCCTCCACTAATATTGCCCCCCATGTATTAAATGATTTCAATAACTGATCGGTTCTTACCAGAGGACGGGGACGTCTTTCCCGGCACCACAGATGGACGGAGTATTTTACTGGGGGGTTTGAGCCCGCTGACTTTGCCTGGTGTACTCATGGCGCCTTGTTTGTCCATGGGGAGCAGGGGGTGTGTGGGGGTGTCTGGCCTGATCAAGGTGGGGGACTAGGCCTTCCCCACTACCCCATAGAGTCCCAATATGATATAAGAGAGCTGAAAAAAAACACACAAAAATGTCACTACATATAAAAGGAACAGCATCAAATCAAAAGCATCAACTCCTCACACATGAGAAGATGGAAATCTACTTTGATTCAATGTTATAAAGCAATAAAACATGAAAACTTCTAAGGGAGGGGGACACTTCTTTGTTAGCACGTTAGTCCGTCTATAAAGACCCTAAACCACCCATAAACACAACAGCATCTCTGTGGGAGCTGCTGCACTGCTCAGCCAGGCCTCCAAACACTAAACCCTTGTATAATCCCACTCTTTACAGCGCCCTCAACACCTCCTACTGTATGTAACCAAACCACAGCCTATTTATTATCACCCATTCAATAAATGTGAGCTCTGACTTTATATCACTCTGTACACATCTCTACTCTAGAGCTATAAATACAGATGCTTTGGCATTTATTGCACTTGCCAAGGTTTTTCACATCAGTCTCCAAAATAAGAAATCGCCTTTTCTGACATTTTCAAACGACTAAGGTCAGATTTTTTTCCCACAGGTCTGTAGGTGGTGGACAGCGGCCTGAGCATGCTGCCATTTCACTCATAAAACTGATGATTCACTCTGACCGACTGCAACTAGATCAACAATGAGACCTCAAGTTTCCTTCAGCGAAAGACGTGTGCATGGTGGCAAGGATTAGTTGACAAATCAATTATTTTGATCATCCAACTAATCTATTTTTGTAGTTTTTCTAGCAGGAATGCCTCTAAAATCTGAAGATTCAAGCTTTTTGTTTGTCGCGCATGAGACTTCTGAATATATCTCCTTGGGTTGTAGTAAATGTAAACAGGTGTTTTTCAATATTTTCTGACACTTGACAAAACAATTATCAAGAAAATAACCAGTAGATTAATCAATAAAAAATAAATAAATAAATGGCAGTTTCATTATTTTCCCAGTAATGATTAACTGATCAATTGATTGGTTGTCTGATACCAGCATCTCAAATGTGAGCGTTTGCTTGTTTCCACACATTTCTGTGACAGTAAACTCAACATTTTGGGGTTTTTTTCAGACAACAAAAGCAATAACAATCTGTTCCCTCAGCATTTTTCACTATTTATTAGCATTTTATCAAATGAGCAATCAGTTGATTATTAAAGGAAATAACTGTTATACGCTTTGATAATAACAGTAATTGTTGGTTGTATGGAATAATATCACCTTGCTTGGGGAAGTATGACCAAAGACAGCTTTATAACAATATAAACTAAAGCAATTCAGGTCTTAAAACAAGAGTTTGACACAGAGTTCCCTCTACAAGACTAGGGCCACAAGTTAGAGGATGGAGGATTAATCAATCAATTAATTAATCAAATTGGATGTGGGGTAAATCTGTGCCCTTTGGGGCCCATGGGGGTCTGGGCAGTTGCCCGCTTTGCTCTGCTGATAATCCAGCCTCCCTTGATCCCATACTCTGGACCAGGTAAGAGGTGAAGGTTTGTCAGTGTGTGTAATGTTACCTGAACGCTCCTCCCCCCGCCCAGCCGGTACTGCCAGATCAAAACAACAAGCACACCTGGAGCTGTCAAACCCCCAATCCTCGGTCCTTCTCATACTGCATCTCTGCTCCGTCTCCAGCCTCACACAGACACTCGCTGACACCAACCGACACGTACACGAATGAACCACAGCTGCAGCGGGAAAACACGATGAGACCAGCCCGTGTTGTTTGTGTCTGGGCTGGGCTCTTTCTCCTTCCACCTACTGCATCCCTGGAGCCACTGAGCAACTTGGGTGGTTACACTTTTACTCAACATCCATACACATTTAATTTCACAACGCCGGCTTACTGAGACCAAACCTGATATTTGGCGGCTACTCCCGGTGTTTAACGGCTGCTTCAACTTTACTCCTTGTCATATTTCTGTGTCCCTGCTGGAATGCCAAAGCTAGCTAGCTACAGATTAGCGAGAAACCATAAACTGGGGTTAACGTTAAAACGACTAACGCTCCGTTGAGGCGACATTACAGCAGAATAAGAGCAAGAATTGGCGGGAAAAGTTGCTGCGGAGGCTTACTTGGTGTCTTTCGGTGAACTGGGTCTCAGTGAGGACTGTCGCGGGTCGGTACACCGAACCTTTCGCCGTTACATGTTTTCCCAGCCCCAGCCCGACAGCATGACGTCATCTTGGGAACTAATGCTGCCTTCACGGACCCAAACACGAGCCCGTACATCCCAGCACCGAAGTGATTTGCGGTTTAATTGGTCGACCAATTTAGCATAAGGCTGCAACATAACAAGATTTGAAAAAGGAGAAGGGGTCTTAATAGTTTCTGAATGACTTTTTTTTTTTGCTTTACAGCAAAAAAGCTCCTTTCCTTATATTATATTATTTACTGTGGTCGTGTCTGTGTCTGTGACCCTGAAGTGATGTGGAGATCTTTTTCTTGCCATGTGTCAGACCTTTCTTTGGAAAATGAATAAAAACTTGAACGCAGAATGATAAATATGATTCCTCCTGTCAGAAAAGACAACACAAGAGGACACATGGGACATGGCACAAAAGTACTATGATATTTGTATTATTTTTTCCTAATGTTCAATTTATTCAATTCAAAACAAAGCAGAGCGCACAAGGATACAAAGACTGGAAATTTAAATGTGCACACAGAATGACAAAACCATAATCATAATTATGTATTACAAAATGTGCTCTCTATCCTCCTAAATTCACAGAAAACCTCACACACCTTGCAGTGAATGTGAGTTGTGCGTTTATTGACAGTTGACTCATAGCGTTGAAGTCATCTGACCTTTCCTATGGCTGTTCAACTGATTTGTCCTGTAAATATTATTTTAATGGATGGTATAAAATCAGTGTCTGCTGTTTAGAGTGGAAGTGATGGACAATTGAAAGGATAAAAAAAATGAAAGAAAAAAGATGCAGTATATAACATCTTAACAATTATTACTTTTACAAGCTTTTGCAGTTAATATTTTACTATTCTATTACTATTATTCAGTTTTAATGGCTGATAGTTCCCTTATTGTACACTCTAACCACACTCACAAGGGTTTATGTTATACCAGTACAAGTACATGACACAAAGCTACTAATTTTTGGGTGGGTAATTTTGTACATTTTTTTAGTAGAAAATTTATACAAGTTATAAACTGGCTTAATAAAATTTTTTATCAATAGCCAGGCCTTTAAGGTGTATTATGCAGTCATGTAACCAGTTAAAATTCACAGTGACCCTGCAATGTAAGCAGGGAGCACAACAGCTCCTGGCTTTATAGCTTTCTACCATCAATGCTGGAAATATTATCAGTTGACTCTGCCTGATCTTTGTCGTCGCTCCTTCTCAGCAGTTTATTCAGGAGATTCTTGAAGGTGCCACTAAAAGCAGGGCTGGAGAAATAATACACCACCGGGTTGAGGACGCTGTTAAAGTACGTGAAACACACCGACGTGTAGAACGCCAGGTTGGCCTCTTCAAAGTGTTTGCACTCATCATACCATACCTTGAGGATCCATACAGCGATACGTGATACAGTGCTGGGGAAGAAACAGATAATAAAGATCAAAGCAACAGCCAACACGAACTGAACGGCCCGTTTGATTTTCCCCTTTTTGTCAATAGTCCTGCTGTTCAGCTGCCAAGTGATTCTGATGGTGCAGAAGGCGACGATGGCAGTGGGCAGGAAAAACTGGACCACGTAGAAAGTGTTGTGCCAGGTGGAGAGGGGGTCGAAGCCCATGCAGATGTTGAAACTCTCACACTGTGTACGGTTGTTATTGTAGAAGAAGTGCTCATCAGCAAGAAGGTACCCGGTAGCAAGAAAAATCAGACCCCAGAGGCCAAGGGAGACCCAGAGAGCGTAGCCCAGGCCCATTCGGTTGATCCGGTTCATGGGGTGGACGATCTTGAAGTACCGATCGACGGCCACGGCGGTGAGGAAGAAGATCCCCGCCGCACGGTTGGCTGCCAGCAGAAAGAGCAGGATACGACACGGGGCATCGCCGTACAGCCAGTGTTTCCCACGCCTGTAGTAGTCTGCTCTGAAAGGTAGGCAGAACAGCACGATGGAGTCGGCAACAGCCAGGTGAGTCAGGTACACCGAGTTGGGCTTCCACTCGTCCATGTGAAAGATGAACATCCACAGGGCGACAACGTTCCCCATCAGCCCAAACATGAACTCCAGGATCAGTACCGGAGGCAAAATGTGATCCAGGATGGGAGACTCGAAGGCGCAGCACTTCTCTGCAAGTGTAAGATTCATCGTTTCAACCGCCAACGAAGCAAAAGACGAACCAGCTGCTCTACACAGAGTCAACATAGATATGCTGTACCAGATAACTTATTTGGTTGGGAGTCATGTTTGCGCTCATGCAAATGATTCTCAGACAAACATCTTAAATCCTGAGTGGAGCGAACATCTGTGCACTATGTGTTATCTATGGGGAAGTGGTATTGACCCAGAGGAGCATGGAAACAACTGTAAATGTTATCCGTCTGGGGAGTGTGCCTTCATTATAAAAATTATTATGCAGGGGAATAGGTGCTCTCATGGGTATAATGAGTGGGGTGCATGAAAAACAAGTAACCTGCGGCCATTTAAATGACTCAGATAAAGCAGGTGACTAAAACAAATTATAACCCATTTAATGTTTTGAAAAATCAGACACAAACTTGGAAAGAAGACGTGAGCGTACAGGCGAAGGAAACTGAAATTTATTAGCCTATAGTTTGCTTGAGTGAAGAACATTTGGGAGGGATTCACGTCATACCACACCTTTGGCAAACGAGAGAAAGTAGCTATTAGCTAAAAAAAAAAAAATGCCAAGTGAGTGGCCAAGTCCGCAACTTTTTATGTACAGTAAATAAAATAAGTATAAAATGACTTAATGTGTACATTTGGCCAGGTTGTCGCTGTTACAGGTCACATCCATTTCAGTAAAAGTGCATATTTGGTCTTCACTTCTTGACTTCACCCAGATCATCAATGCTGTCATCATCCACCTGTGAAGAGAGATACAGAGACCGAGTTCAGCGTTTGTGATCTCGAAGCACAAAGAGCCTGAGTTTTCCCATCCTTTCCTCAATAAAATGTAAAAAACGCCTGAGGACAAATACACTACGACTGTTATGGCTCAAACTTAATAAAAAGGTGAAGCAGCATTCTGTTTTTATTCACCACATATCTCAAACAAACGTGGGGCCTGCTCCAACTCATCATCTCTTTAAAACTGAGGTTTAAAAACTGTGCTGCCTTTTGTTGTCTTGGCTCTAAGGATGTTAGTGTGGGTCAGTCGGTTCACCGCTTCAGTCCCGACAGAAATATCTCAACAACTATTGGATGGTTTGTCAAGTTTACTGAGAACATTCATGTTCCTCTCAGGATGGATTATAATCACTTTGGTGATCTCCAGACTTTCCATCTTACCTATCAGGTAAACTTTTTTTAATCTGTCCAATAAGGTAAGACAAAAGTTAAAACTTTATTGTCCATTAGATTTGCATAAAATGGAAATATATCTTTGACAACCTGGCAAGTGGGAGCTTGTGTCTCCTACCAGATGGCAACACTAAAGTTTATGTCAAGTATTAAGCATTAGAAAAACCCACTATATCAGTCCCTAGATAAAGAGTGAACAAACTGGCACTTACTGCAGTACTGTTGTCAAACAACAATCCCATTCACACATCAATATTCCAGCGTGAATCTCATGAACCAACATTTATCTCCCTCAGCTCGTGAGCTGTGGACAGCCAGTGTTTATCATGACTGCACTCAAGTACAACTGTCATTATATTTATTATTAATTATAAAAAAAATGTTCAAACGACAGATAGAAGTTAAGGATGGATGAGAGATGTAATCAAGCCAAGCCCCGGCTCCCCTCGTGCAGACGTTCCTACATTATTTAACATCACAGTGTAGACACCGAGAGGTTCAAACCCAGTGCAAGATTACTAATTAAAAACTATCTCTGCTTCATCCAGTAAAAATGAATTTTAAAATGAGTAAATAAAGGCACAAAAGAGAAATCTCTCTGGGCAAAATGAGGGTTTATCTTTCAATACATGATTTCCTTATGTTTTGTAGAATGAAGACAGCTCACCTCAGGCCACTTCTCTTGAATGACGTCGATTATGTCGTCTGTAAAATCTCCCTGAATGATTATTTCATCCTCTGCTGTAACTGAGGCACCACAAGAGAATTTCTGGGCAAAGAACCGCTGAGCCTCTTTAAGGTCAATGTCTGCAGGAGTCAACACAGGATTTATGTTAAAAAATAAATAAAAGCATTAACAGGAAGAGAATTAAACAACTTTTGAGAACAATAAAACATAAAGCTGTTACCAAATGTTGCCAGGCCACACACACGAGTCACGTATTTCTTCTTGGCTCTTGGGATTTTTGCTATCGTAACTTTCTGAGGCACAGTCTTCTTTTTCTGTTTGATCTGGCCTCTTCCACCTTACAAAGGTAAAAGGAGATAAACCAGATTATTTAAGACTCATGATGTCACTCATCAACAACAGCAAGATATTTAAATACAGACAACAGTGAGGAATCATTTTCTTTAAGTTGAAATAGCTTAAGATTTCCATGAAATTAAACCCATCGCTTCTGATACCATTTAAGGTCAGCATGTTTTCTGCTATGGTCATTTCATGTATTTACATTCTGTAATTCTATCTGTATGATAGTTTCCACTGTTAGTTTCTCATCTCCATGCTGTATTCAAATTTCTATCTATGCACAAAGGATTCACAGGAAACGAAGCAGCATGTTATCCAGTCTTACTGTTTTTAATTTTATCTCACTGTTGTTCACGCTCTTTACACCGATATCAGAGTCGTATCATGTTTGTTCATCAGAAATGCTTCTACAAAAAGAGTTATTTCTTACATTTCTTCACAATGTATTAAGATTTAATGTCACGGCGACATTAAATCAGATAGATGATTTACATGAAGAGCTGCAGGAGAGAGAGAGCGGCGACACACTTCCAACTCCGCAGCCTCATAATCAACATAACTGTGTGGGAAAAGTACTCACTGTCTGTCAGACCGTCAATCATTTTGACTGAGGTCTTTATTTCTTGCTACTCAGAGAACAACTACTAAACTCAACAGTGTCACCAAATCAACCA